AATAGTACTTTAATAAGAATGTTATACATGGTTACAGGGAATAACAAACTGGAAAATGCATTAAAAAACTACTAGTCAGGAATGTGGGGTAGTAGCCCAGGTAGTCTTCTTACAGTCACTCAATAAACCTGTCACATTTTTTTTAGATAGCTAGGCAAGTTAGTCTAGCCAGCTATCTAAACTTAAAGACCGAATTACCAACCAGGTAAGTAGGGGACGTGCCCAGGGGCCCTGACCTCCAAGAGGCCCCCATTGATTTTGTTAGTCACTCTCACTCAGATGTCATATGAAAATGGCATAAGTCATGGCAAAATGTGTAGAATTGCAGGAAATTAAAAAAGCTTGCACATTTTTCTCTCCGTCGCCAAGAGGGCAGCACTAAAAACTTTTACCAGCAAGGTTGTTGTTTTTTGCCCATAAGGCTTGGGCTGGCCCTTGGCGGAAAGGAGGAGACTGGGCATGCCGCGGGCTATCAGGGCTCAGATATTAATATCAATATCAGCTTCAGATACGAATCCGATAAATAATTTAGAAGATGGTTGGGGTCGTATACAAGTTGTGTTATGAGGTTATTGTCCTCAGGGAGATGGTAGAGGACATAGCATGCATCCCAAATGGCACCCTGTTCCTGATATAGTGCACTACTTTTGACCAGAGCCTATGGGTCTCCGGTCAAAAGCAGTGCATTATGTAGGGAATATGGTGCCATTTGGGATGCACCCATAGCGAGGCAAGCAAAGATGCTCCTGCCACAGAGTAAAAATCAATCGCTGGATAGTGGATCATAATTCCTCTTCAATGGTATAATTCTGACCTGGTTATGTTTGAGGACAATTGTAAAGGACTATCATTGTATGGTACACAAGGAATACATTCTCATTCAGTTCAATGAAAGTACAGTATATTGATTTGTATGTTTATTGTAATCATGGGCCTCCTTGTTTCTGCACCATTAAAAACAAAAAATGTGCCTCGACATTACTATGCTTATGTTAAACAGTAGGCTACACGTCGCATCAAAGCAATGAAGACACACTCACGCATCTATGATCTTTTTTTTTTTTTTTTATATATATATAAATCATTCTTACAAAATGTGCATTTCTTTCATTTATTACCTCTATAAAAGTAATTTGTTAATTACAAGGTAGGAGGGAGGAAGGCATGACAGCTGGAAATTAAGTCATTAAAAATAGCTTGTCTGTTTGTGATACAGTTAAGTACTGATAAATAATTCCATAGAAAAAGTGGTCATGCAGGCGCGTTGTTGGTAGTCGCCACAGTTTAGTATCCAACAGAGAGAACAGAGGTGTCATGGATGAAACAAAGCGGTGATGAAACTCCAGTGTATGTCGAGATTAACGAGACCCCTATATGGTGCTCCTCTTCTGACTGACTGATGGTCAAAATGGCAGTCTGTGTGTTATCATGAGCTCACAAAGCATTTTATAAAAAAAGGCACAATCAAGGACAAAACCATCCTGCACATCCAACCAACCACACTGATAGAGGCCATGCATTGCTAAACCATAGAATGTCTGGTATCCTATGGTATTATGGAAGGATATGTTTAACTGAGACATCTAGAGTTGTATTACAAGGTCATATGTCTATTTCATTCAACATTACCGTTTTGAGTTGACTATATTTGTTCCAGATATGGTCAGAGAATTGCCAGTTTCCCCAGAACCATCAATGAGTATGCAGACGTGGACAGTGACATATTACGGTGAATCTGAGAAGACACATATTACAGCAACAAAAGAAAACCCTCGATCTGTTACAAGAGACCCAGCTGTATATCGGTTTCCAAATAGTCTGGTTGCTTTTGCAATACAGTTCACATAGAATCTAAATGCTCACAGCAAATCTAATTCTTGATTATTGGTTTCATCTTGTCTCCATGGTGATTCCAAATTAAATTACATGGAAACTCAGAAAATGTATTTCTATAATGGTTGCCATTGCTCTAGAAGATTTTAAAAGCAATAGGGATGTTTTTATTCAGTGGAAATGAAAAAATATATATTGACAACAATGTGAGAAAAATAAAATGTACAACTTACAAAATCAGAATCTTTTTGCTCATCAACTGTTCCCTCAGCCACGAAATCCTGTTATTTTCCCCTGTCATTTCATACTATACACTGTCTGGTTTTGCTCACATATGAAAATAAATATACATGTTTATGTACAGAAATGACAGTCAAGATCTTCTGAAATGTCTCTGGTTTCGCCCGTGAAGTCAATGTGCAAGGCTGGGGACTTTCTCTTTTGAGATGATCTAACAACAAGTACAGACAATCATAGATAGAAGGCTTGACATTAATTCAAACAAAGATGGTTTACTGAAATTCAAACGCTTTTCATAATCATTGAGATGCATGTCTAGTGCCAAGAGATCAAAGGCTTGCTTGCTGTAAGTCAGCATCAAATATAACGTAAATCTCTCTTGGCCAATATCAAATCATACAAGTTCATTCCAAACTCTCCCAGAGTACATTTCCAGAAAGAAAATACAAACATATGCAAAAATGTAGTGAAAAACTATATGCTGACAATATACCAGCTTTGAAACTGTACTAAATCTAACTGTACTGTAGTATTACATGTTGATGATGATAATATCATATATGATGACATAGTGAGAATGGCAAGAGTGGATAGCTCAGGCCCACTGATGACAATATCAACTCATTGGCCATGTATAAACCTAGTGGACACCGACCATCATTGATTGTATCCTGATATGAAAACAAAATGAATGTGAAGGAGTCTATAACGACCTCAATAAGAAATGACGCAGATTCAACGAAGGGGGGGGAGAAGAAAATGGATAGTTGAGCTTTGGCTCACAGCTGACACACTATGGCCGGTTTCCCAGAGTCAGATACAGCATAGTCCTGAACTAAAATTAACTTTCAATGGAACATCACTGAGAAAATGTTTTTGTCCAGGACTAGGTTCAATCCGTGTCCGGGAAACTGGCCCTTTAAGTTCAGTCACCTTCACAATTAAAGGCCACTAAAGCACACTACACTCCTTCAAGTCTTTAGACATTCAAGTACCTGTCCGAGTGGACTGGCAGGGCTCTGGTGTGGTACAAAGGCAAAAGCCACTTCACAATAGGATATCACTATACAGCCATGAGCTTCCACAATTCTTGAAGCCATTTCCTTGAAATTGATCAATAAAATAAAGTATCCAGGTTTTTCTATTCGACCACAATACACCTGTTACCACTGACTGGCAAAAACTAATTGTCAGGACAAATGTAGTTGAGCTGGGATGAGTTAGTATTGTGAGTACAACAGCATCACAGGAAGACTTGGCGCAACAGAAATGATGGACAAAGAGGGTACTGAAGAACATTACAATGACAAGGCTAGGTGAGGGGGAGCTGGTTGTCCTTTCACTGTAAGCCTAGAGCCAAAGGGTCAAGGTTGTGGGTCACTGCATTCAGAGCAGAGTCCGACATGATGGGAAATATAGAGACAGAAGGTTTCATCAAGGGCTGCTCCCCAGGGAAACCAACACTTCAAATGAAATGGCTTTCTCTAATTGAACACAAAACATGTCTCCTGACGTATGGTGTAGGAGATGGCTATGTCTATCGAATAGCTTTGAGGCTTGTATTTCACCAACATCATTATAATGTGGTGAATCTAGGAAGAATAACAAATATTACAGAGGCCATTTCAACTATATAGCATCTTCTACTGCTTTCGATATCGATTTATGGAAAATATGTGCAATAAGCAATTTAAAAAGGCAGCACTAATGCAACAGTCGCGTTTCACATTTACATTTCCGAAATCTCTTAACACTCCTGTGGAAATGACGCAGGCAACTAAAGAACTGTTTAGGTTCTAAATTTAGCATGCACTCCTTCTGCCATGGTAGTGCTCCTAAGCAATAAAGGGGAAATAAATGGGTGAAAAGGGTTTGGTTTAGAAGGCAGTGTTCTGCTCCATTTCATCCAGAAATGTTCATTTTGCTCATTCCGACAGAGGGAAAGTACTCTGTTTGGGCTTATGGTTGGATGAGCTTACTTTCAGCCTCTGTACACACAATGGAGCTGAACTTTTGAGGAGAAAATAAAAAGATGAGAAGAAAAGTAACACTGCTTTTGAGAGAAATAGAAATCTAACTATCAGAAATTCAAGGAATGAGCATAGAGTTGATGTTTCTGTTGGTTTTGTGGTTGCCTCATGGCAATATGAATGGCACCATTTGAAAATGGTGCTTTTAAACCGTCCTTCCAGTAAAATAATAAAAAAAATAAAAGGGGGGAAAGCTTTGACTCTACTTTCTCGACCTTGACTACCAAATGCTGAATTTAATTTAATCACGGGACAATTCTTAGGAAGATAAGACCTCAACGCTTCAAACCCCAGTGAACACATGGGAGGGAAGTATGGATCGAAAAATAAGAAGCAATAGAGTAACAGGGTTTCCCAGGGTCCAGAGCAGGGGCTGGTGGTGAGTGTGTTAGGGGTCCTGATGCAGACATAGGGAGGTCAAGGTGGGGTTAGGAGAGGTTGCATTGAGTCTAGGTTACCAGTCCGGTGCAGATCTGATCTGTGGTTGGTTTGTCATGTTGGACAACTCCCTTCCTCTACCATCCTGAACATGAGTCACAGGAAAGTCTGTCGTCATTCGCTCCTTTGTGGCATTCATACAAAAAAAATATTATATCCAAGAGTCTCATCGTCAGTAGTTTTGTGTTAATGTGAACATACTATAGATCTGTATATCCTTTGTGTGTATGCGCATAGTTCTCCAGACAGCGCAATTTCACTTGTCAAGTCCTGTGGTCATTGGCAATGTGCTGAGTGGAAGACAGAGCTGTAGCGCCCCCTTGGATCAGGCTCCAGGTGGCTGACTGTCCTACTGCCACTGTCGTGGTCCTCCTTCGGCTATGGCTGCTCTCTACCGAGTCTGTCTGTTACTGCCGCTACTGCCTCCCCTGGCCTCTCCGGCAGGGGGCGCACGTCCTGTCAGAGCCTCTCGATGTCCCTGTATTTTTTGCGCAGGATGGAGACCTGGTCCTTGAACAGCACCGGGTCCAGCCTCATTTGGGAGTGGACCATGGGCATGCCGCCAAACCAGCTGGCGAACTTGTTCATGCACGTCTGCCGCTGGGCAAAGTGGTCCGGGTCGGCCCAGCGCGACGCCCGCGACGACTGCACGGCGGGAGGAGAGAAAGACAAAGATAAGTGATTGTTACATCATAGTAGCATGTCATGACACTAAATCATATAATCTCAAATGGTGGGTGGGGACCAGAGCTGGGCGATATGACCAAAACTCCATATTATGATAAATTGACCCATTTCTTTGCATTAATGATAAATCAGCACAAAAAAAGTTTTTGGGGTGGTACTAGAGCTGGGTGATATGGATAAAAAGCCCAGCCAAGCAATTTATCAGCCCAGCCAAGCAATTTATAAACTTGATCTCCACTATAAAAATCATCTAGATATTATCTCACATTTCTTTTAGACCAACATTTAGTTTTCAATAGCGTAGATTTGTATAAACCTTGCGGTCTATCTCTCTGACATTTGCAACATTGTTTCAATATTCAAATTCGTTCTCCAGCTGTCCCATAGTAATGAACGTGTCGGGAGTCGGGACGAGACAGACAGGTAGCGTTTCTCAGCCAGTCGAAATCATGAATGAACTGGCATAATTTCTATGGATATATACAAAGAAATCGTGCCTCATTAGCTCATTGTTAAGGATGTATCCAAATAAATGTCGCTAGAAAACAGCTTAAACAAATGCAAATGCTGCTACTTTAATGTCATTCTGGCTGCACTTTTTGAAGTGACTAAGTTAGCCGTAGTTGGCTGGCTAGCAAGCAAGGGATAAGAACGTTGCCACCCTAGATGTGTGTCGGGACTATATCTTGTGGAAGGATGAAATAGTATGAATAAATTCATCAAAATAACGTTTATTAATGAAAATATGTAAATCATTATTTGAATATGTTGGTAACCTGTTGTATAAAAGTGACACGTGCCAATATATCCTCCAAACACCGGCTTCAAGGGCATTATCACTTAAATAATGCACGCTCTAAAATGCCTTTCAAGCCAATCAGAAACGAGTATTCAACAACGCCATGGTATAAATAAGAAATAAGGCCTGAGGGGGTGTGGTATATGGCCAATATACCACAGCTAAGGGCTGTTCTTAGCACGACACAACGTGGAGTGCCTGGATACAGCCCTTAGCCGTGGTATATTGGCCATATACAACAAACCCCTGAGGTGCCTTATTGCTATTACAAACTGGTTACCAACGTAATTAGAGCAGTAAAAATAAATGTTGTCTCATACTCGTGGTATATGGTCTGACATACAGTGCCTTGCAAAAGTATTCATCCCCCTTGGCAGTTTTCCTATTTTGCTGCATTACAACCTGTAATTTAAATTGATTTTTATTTGGAATTCATGTAACGGACATACACAAAATAGTCCAAATTGGTGAAGTAAAAATAAAATAAAAACGTGTTTCAAAAAATTCAAAAAAATAAATAACGGAAAAGTGGTGCGTGCATATGTATTCACCCCGTTTGCTATGAAGCCCCTAAAAAGATCTGGTGCAACCAATCACCTTCAGAAGTCACATAATTAGTTAAATAAAGTCCACCTGTGTGCAATATAAGTGTCACATGATCTGTCACATGATCTCAGAATATATACACCTGTTCTGAAAGGCCCCAAAGTCTGCAACACCACTAAGCAAGGGGCACCACCAATCAAACGGCACCATGAAGACCAAGGAGCTCTCCAAACAGGTCAGGGACAAAGTTGTGGAGAAGTACAGATCAGGGTTGGGTTATAAAAAAATATCAGAAACTTTGAACATCCCACGGAGCACCATTAAATCCATTATTAAAAAATGGAAAGAATATGGCACCACAACAAACCTGCCAAGAGAGGGCCGCCCACCATAACTCACAGACCAGGCAAGGAGGGCATTAATCAGAGAGTCAACAGACCAAAGATAACCCTGAAGGAGCTGCAAAGTTCCACAGCGGAGATTGGAGTACCTGTCCATAGGACCACTTTAAGTCATACACTCCACAGAGCTGGACTTTACTGAAGAGTGGCCAGAAAAAAGCCATTGCTTAAAGAAAAATATAAGCAAACACATTTGGTGTTCGCCAAAAGGCATGTGGGAGACTCCCTAAACATATGGAAGAAGGTATTCTGGTCCGATGAGACTAAAATTGAGCTTTTTGGCCATCAAGGAAAACGCTATGTCTGGCGCAAACCCAACAACCTCTCATCACCCCGAGAACACCACCATGTTTTTCATCGGCAGGGACTGGGAAACTGGTCAGAATTTAAGGAATGATGGATGGCACTAAGTACAGGGAAATTCTTGAGGGAAACCTGTTTTCAGTCTTCCAGAGATTTGAGACTGGGACGGAGGTTCACCTTCCAGCAGGACAATGACCCTAAGCATACTGCTAAAGCAACACTTGAGTGGTTTAAGGGGAAACATTTAAATGTCTTGGAATGGCCTAGTCAAAGCCCAGACCTCAATCCAATTGAGAATCTGTGGTATGACTTAAAGATTGCTGTACACCAGCGGAACCCATCCAACTTGTGAGGAGCTGGAGCAGTTTTGCCTTGAAGAATGGGCAAAAATCCCAGTGGCTAGATGTGCCAAGCTTATAGAAACATACCCCAAGAGACTTGCAGCAGTAATTTCTGCAAAAGGTGGCTCTACAAAGTATTGACTTTGGGGGGGGGGGGGGGGGGGGGGGGGTGAATAGTTATGCACGCTCAAGTTCTTTTTTTTTTGGTCTTATTTCTTGTTTGATTCACAATTTTAAAAAAATTGCAACTTCAAAGTGGTAGGCATGTTGTGTAAATAAAAAGATACAAACCCCCCCAAAAAATCCATTTTAATTCCAGGTTGTAAGGCAACAAAATAGGGAAAATGCCAAGGGGGGTGAATACTTTCGCAAGCCACTGTACCACGGCTGTCTGCCAATCAGCATTAAGGGCTCGAACCACCCAGTTTATAATTAAGCAATAACACACGAGGGGTGTGGTATATGGCCAATATACCACGGCTAAGGGCTGTATCCAAGCACTGTGCGTTGCGTTGTGCCCAAGAACATATACCACACCCTCTCGGGCCTTATTGCTTAAATATACCACGGCTAAGGGCTGTTCTTACGCACAACGAGAAGCAGAGTGCCCAGATGCAGCCCTTAGCCGTGGTATATTGGCCATATACCACAAACCCCTGAGGTGCCGTATTGCTATTATAAACTGGTTATAAACATAAATAAAACAGTAAACTAGTATTTTTGCGTCATACTCGTGGTATATTGTCAGATATACACATGGTTGAAATGCTGTTTCAGCCAATCAGCATCCAAACTACCCAGTTTATAATGTGTTATAATACATACCTGTCCCATCATGGTCTCTTTGTACTGCTTCTTCTGGGTGACCTTGATGGGCGGCAGCTTGGTGACTGCTGACACCAGGAAGTTCATGAGGATGTCCTCACAGTTAGCCAACTGGTCCACCATGCCCTTCAGGCTGGCAGGCAGGAAGTTGGTGTACAGGAAGTGGTAATATCTGAGGAGGAAGAATAAGTTAGTGAACAGAAAGTGGTAATATCTGGAGAGGGAGAAGAAGAAGAGTTGAGAGGGTGATTTGGAGGTGTTTGGAAAGCTCTGGGAAGCATTCGAGATTAGAGTTTGGATCGATTGAGTTAATCAAAACTAATCAAGCAGTTCAATATCAGTTTTATAGACAGTGCTGAATTGAGTCTTTGTTGAACAACTGTATGAAAAAGACAATGTAATGAGGGTTGGGACAGGATCCACGATGCACCACTCAACATGACTGATGTACTGTATGTGGCCTCAGGCTACTTCCTACAGTAGTGTTCAGTGGAGGTTGATGTCACTTTCAATTGTGTTTGATACCTTTCCATTCCAGCCATTACAATGAGCCCGTCCTCCGATTTCTTAATCTACCAGCCTCCACTGGTAGTCAGTGCTTGACTTGGGCAGGAGCTCACCGGAACAGAGTACTGGCAACTCAAATTCTCTACTGCTTGAGTTCCTAAACCTGTTACAGAATATTAGCTCAAAAGTATTGTGAAGCCCCTGCACCTAAATATAAACAGTACCGGCACCCAAAATAAGTACCGGCACCTATTTCAGTCCAAGTCAAGCACTGCTGGTAGTGTTGTACCTATACACTGATCTTGGGTCAGTTTTACATTTTGGGGGGAGGGGAAGCTGATCCTAGATCTGTACCTAGGGGAAACTTCACCCTGGAGCTTGTACTGTAGCCTACTGTACCTGTGGTAGATGGCAGCTCCGGTCAGCACCATGGAGTAGTCGTTGGTCCACTTGGAAGTGTAGCCCCAGCGCTCCTTGTTGCTGTCCCAGAAGTGGCTCCGGGCCGGGTAGCCCACCAACCTCTCTGGGAAGCTCTGCCACACCGTGAAGGCAAAGTCCACCTGAGGAGGAAGACAAAGCGCTAGTAGATACCATGGACTTCCAGTCATTGCGCTAATGCTAGTTAGCAATTGCACTAGCGCTAGTTAGCAACTTCCTTCAAACTGCAAGCAGAGACATACAAATGGTATCCACGAGTTCATCCGACTCTGGGGAAGTAGATAAAGGGCCTCATTGCAAAAATCCCGAAGTATCCCTTTAACACACATTTATACACTCAATGAATGCACACTCTCCATGCGTAGAGGCATAGACAGATACACACACGCGCCCTCTCTCGAATGCCTCATCACACAAACGTGTTTTCAAAAGCCCTCTGCAGTCAGCTGACATCTCGCTGGTTGATCAAAGCATTTAAACAAATAATTAGAGAAAACAGACGGGGTCAGGCTGGTTCCGGCAGCAGTCAGACAAACAGAGCCTGCGTGCCAAATGACACCTTACTCCCAATATAGCACACTACTTTTGACCAGGGCTCATAGGGGAAAAAGTAGTCAAAAGTGGTCAAAAGTAGTGCACTATGTAGGGAATAGGGTGCCATTTGGGACACAGTCAGTGCCTCCACCAGAGACTGAATTAAGAGTGTGTAATAACAGCCACAGGGTCGCCACAAAAACAGCATTTATGGGCTCCCACTCAAAACTTCATCTCGGCAACATCTGTGTTCTCATGGTGTTATGCCAAACTGTGTGCCTGACTCAGCTCGAGGAATGAAGAGAAAAGCCACCCCAGGAAGCAGAAATTAAACACTTATTAAACAGCCACAATGGTGGTTTCCTCAATATGCAGGGGATCACAGCGTGATTAAAGATGCCAATTAGACAGAGAGAGACGTAGAGAAAGAGAGATGGGGAGAGCAAGAAATGGAGAGAAAGCATGAACATGAGAAAAGTGTAAGGAGTGGGAGGGATGGAGAAAGAGTAAGATAAATTGCTAGAGATAAAGAGGGCAAAATGAGAAAGAGGGATCGCTAAGTACTATTTAAGAGAGGGAGGAAGAGAAAGTTGTATGTGGGACAACAGTGACACACAGCGAGGCAGTGAGAGAGGTAGGTTTGGAGCGCACTATACTTTCACTCTCTTTCTCCCCATTTCTGTACTCTCACAGGGCCAGCCAGCCAGGCTCGGTCCCTGTCAGGCGTGTAGTGCTGCCCGGAGCACGGAGGAGTGGCGCTCCCTCACATTTTTCAATTTGAGAATACACCGAGCTATTTCTGGAAAATGTAATAAATTACACTAAACAAAAATATAAACGCAACATGTAAAGTGCTAGTCCCATGTTTCATGAGCTGAAATATCATTGCGCAATCCTGGCACTGTCCTTTCAGCACCACGAAGGTCGCTCCAATCGCTTAAAATGACATATCATCAAAATCTGTTGCCTACACCTACAGTGAGGGAAAAAAGTATTTCATCCCCTGCTGATTTTGTACGTTTGCCCACTGACAAAGACATGATCTGTCTATCATTTTAATGGTACGTTTATTCGAACAGTGAGAGACAGAATAACAACAAAAAAATCCAGAAAAACGCATGTCAAAAATGTTAAAAATTGATTAGCATTTTAATGAGGGAAATAAGTATTTGACCCCTCTGCAAAACATGACTTGGTACTTGGTGGCAATACCCTTGTTGGCAATCACAGAGGTCAGACATTTCTTGTAGTTAGCCACCAGGTTTGCACACATCTCAGGAGGGATTTTGTTCCATTCCTCTTTGCAGATCTTCTCCAAGTCATTAAGATTTCAAGGGTTACGTTTGGCAACTCGAACCTTCAGCTCCCTCCACAGATTTTCTATGCGATTAAGGTCTGGAGACTGGCTAGGCCACTCCAGGACCTTAATGTGCTTCTTCTTGAGCCACTCCTTTGTTGCCTTGGCCGTGTGTTTTGGGTCATTGTCATGCTGGAATACCCATCCACGACCCATTTTCAATGCCCTGGCTGAGGGAAGGAGGTTCTCACCCAAGATTTGACGGTACATGGCCCTGTCCATCGTCCCTTTGATGCGGTGAAGTTGTCCTGTCCCCTAAGCAGAAAAACACCCCCAAAGCATAATGTTTCCACCTCCATGTTTGACGGTGGGGATGGTGTTCTTGGGGTCATAGGCAGCATTCCTCCTCCAAACACGGCGAGTTGAGTTGATGCCAAAGACCTCGATTTTGGTCTCATCTGACCACAACACTTTCACCCAGTTCTCCACTGAATCATTCAGATGTTCATTGGCAAACTTCAGACAGCCCTGTATATGTGCTTTCTTGAGCAGGGGGACCTTGCGGGCGCTGCAGGATTTCAGTTCTTCACGGCGTAGTGTGTTACCAATTGTTTTCTTGGTGACTATGGTCCCAGCTGCCTTGGGATCATTGACAAGATCCTCCCGTGTAATTCTGGGCTGATTCCTCACCGTTCTCATGATCATGATCACGAGGTGAGATCTTGCATGGAGCCCCAGGCCGAGGGAGATTGACAGTTATTTTGTGTTTCTTCCATTTGCGAATAATCGCACCAACTGTTGTCACCTTCTCACCAAGCTGCTTGGCGATGGTCTTGTAACCCATTCCAGCCTTGTGTAGGTCTACAATCTTGTCCCTGACATCCTTGGAGAGCTCTTTGGTCTTGGCCATGGTGGAGAGTTTGGAATCTGATTGATTGCTTCTGTGGACAGGTGTGTTTTTATACAGGTAACAAGCTGAGATTAGGAGCACTCCCTTTAAGAGTGTGCTCCTAATTTTAGCTCGTTACCTGTATAAAAGACACCTGGGAACCAGAAATCTTTCTGATTGAGAGGGGGTCAAATACTTATTTCCCTCATTAAAATGCAAATCAATTTATAACATTTTTGCCATGCGTTTTTCTGGATTTTTTTGTTGTTATTCTGTCTCTCACTGTTCAAATAAACCTACCATTAAAATTATAGACTGACCATTTCTTTGTCAGTGGGCAAACGTACAAAATCAGCAGGGGATCAAATACTTTTTTCCCTCACTGTAATAGTGCTACTCATCACTTATTATTATTGTAACAAATAGAAGATTATCACTTCTCACAATGGTGCTTGTTTAGTAAAGTTAGATCAAAGCTAAATCAATGTCTCGCAAGATCACAATGATTAATTTGCATTTTACATAACAGAACCAAATATAATACCATAGCATAGTAGGACTATAACGTTACACCAAAAACACCTAACTTCTAAGGAGATTTTAGGATTAGCTGAAGCTGAATAGTCCCAAAAAAATTATCGCTGGCAAATCTCATATGGTTTGATTGAAAACAAAATATACTGCCTTCAGAAAATATTCAAAACCCTTGACTTTTTCCACATTTTGTTGTTACACAGCCTGAATTTAAAATTGATTCAATTTTGATTGTGTCAATGATCTACACACAATACCCCATAATGTCAAAGTGGAATAATGTTCTTAGAATTAATTAATAAAACATGAAAATCTGAAATGTCTTCAGTCAATAAGTATTCAACCCCTTTGTTATGGCAAGCCTAAATAAGTTCAGGAGTAAACATTTGCTTAACAAGTCAAATAATAAGTTGCATGGACTAACTCGGTGTGCAATAATGGTGTTCAACATTTTTTTTATGACTACCCCATCTCTGTACCCCACACATACAATTATCTGTAAGGTCCCCCAGTCAAGCAATGAATTTCAAGCACAGATTCAACAACCAGAGAGGTTTTCCCAATGCCTCGCAAAGAACGGCACCTAATGGTAGATTAGTAAAATTTAAAAAAAAGCAGACATTGAATATCCTTTTGAGCATGATGAAATTATTAATTACACTTTGGATGGTGTAGCACTACACCCAGTCACTACAAAGATACAGGAGGAAGGAAACCGAATGGTGATTTTAAAACCAGTTACAGAGTTAAATGGCTGTGATAGGAGACATTGTAGTTACTCCACAACACTAACCTAAATGACAGAGTGAAAAGGAGGAAGCCTGTACAGAATAAAAACATTCCAAAATGTTCAATAAGGCACAAAAGTAATTGTGAAAGTAAAATGTAGCAAAGAAATGAACTTTTTGTCCTGACTACAAAGCATTATGTTTGGGGCAAATCCAACACCACCGAGTACCACTCTTCATATTTTCAAGCATGGTAGTGGCTGCATCATGTTATGGTTATGCTTGTCATTGGCAAGGACTAGGCAGTTTTTTAGGATAGAAATAAACGGAATAGAGCTAAGCACAGGCAAAATCCTAGAGGAAAACCTGGTTCAGTCTGCTTTCCAACAGACACTGGGAAACAAATTCACCTTTCAGCAGGACAATAACCTAAAACGCAAGGCCAAATATACACTGGCGTTACTTACCAAGACGACACTGAATGTTCCTGAGTAGCCTAATTACAGTTTTGACATAAATCAGCTTGAAAATCTATGGCGAGTCTTGAAAAAATGGCTCTCTAGCAATGATCAACAACCAACTTGACAGAGCTTGAATTTAAAAAAGAATGGGCAAATATTCTACAATCCAGATTTGCAAAGCTCTTAGAGACTTACCCAGCAAGACTCACAGCTGTAATCGCTGCCAAAGGTGATTCTAACATGTATTGACTCAAGGGGTTGAATACTTATCTAAATCAAAACATATTAGGGTTTTATGTTCCATTAAAAAAAAGTATTTTGTGTAGATCGTTGATTAAAAAAAAGACAATTTAATCCATTTTAATCTCACTTTGTAAAAACAAAATGTGGAAAACGTCAAGAGGTGTGAATACTTTCTGAAGGCACTGTAGCCTACAAGGCAGGCTAATAGTTTGTTAACATCATCTGCTCTAATTCGCTCACGAAACAGTAATTCAAGAAGATATAAATGCATATTCCAATGAAACGGATTGAGATCAATCAAATGATTGGCATGGAGATGCAGTTTGAACGTTTCACTGGTAAAACGTGAAGAATTATCATTCACAACTAACAGTGATGGCCTATTTTGAAATGCCTAACTTGGTGTTTGAGGGTTTTAAAAATAGAAAATGTTCTTTAGACAATATGTGTGGCCATAGGCAGACATTGCAATTGGATTATGCATTTTATGCATATTCTATAATGATAAATTATTCAATTGGCTACATCTGTCGGTACAAACTTTGATTGAGGAAATGATGACGTCATTAAAAAGAATATGCGCTCCCGCACCTAAAAAAGTAGCACTACACCACTGGTCCCTGTGCTGACACAGCACCACACAAAGCACTGAGGGCCCTGGAGTCATGCCAACAGTGACATCATCATTATCCCACATCAGCAGAGCTGAGGCTACAGCAGCCTGGTGTGCCACTACACTGACAGGGCGGGAGGGAGGGAGGGTAGCAAGAGAGAGAGACAAAGAGAAAGAGGGTTGAGAGATTGTAAGAGAGATAGGGGAATGATACAGAGACAGAAGGAGAGTATGAAAATATATGCACTCACTAACTGTAAGTCGCTCTGGATAAGAGCGTCTGCTAAATGACTAAAATGTAAGGAGAGAGAAGGAGAAAATGAGAGAGAAGAAGGGGGGGAGAGAGTGGCCACAACAACAACAAACAGCATGAGGTGGAGTGAGGGGACGTTAGAAAAGCAGGGGAGAGCACCAGAACTCTAGAGAGAAAGTAGTCCCCATTCCGACATAGTAGTAGGCAGTATCCATAGTGATGTGTGGAGGAACACTAACCTCTGTGGTTGAGAGCACAGTGTCCTCATCCAGGCTGAGCACGGCATCGGTGACAATGGTCTCGTAGGGCAGGAAGCGACTGCTCATCACCTGCATAGGGAGACAGAGAGCACACAGGGTCAGCACACTGTCCTCTGTAGCTCAGTTGGTTGCGCAAGGCAGTTGCAACGCCAAGATAGAGGGTTCAATTCCCGGGACCACCCGTACGTAAAATGTCGCTAAATGGCATATATTATTATATACTGAACAAAAAACTTTAGACATCTGTGGCATTGTGTTGTGTGACAAAACTGCACATTTTAGAGTGGCCTTTTATTGTCCCCAGCACAAGGTGCACCTGTGTAATGATCATGCTGTTTAATCAGCTTCTTGATATGCCACACCTGTCAGGTGGATGGATTATCTTGGTAAAGGAGAAATGCTCACTAACAGGGATGTAAACCAATTTGTGCACAGAATTTGAGAGACATACGCTTCTGAGAAATGTTACTTCAGCTCATGAAACACCAATACTTTACATGTTGCATTTATATTTTTGTTCAGTATATATTACAACAGCACAGCACAAGGGTGGGATGGCAATACATAAAGCACTGGATAGATTTGTCCCAATAGACATGAATGAATTGGTTCCTTTAGTCTTCTACTCTCCTTTCGTGACCAGTTATGAATATGGTAATATTATGGTGGAAACCTCACCTATAGAATAGATTGAGAATATTTGCTTGAATATTGTGAAACCCTACAAACACACTAGCACAAGTAGTAATCTTACACATGGCAATTTTCCCTTTCCTGATTGTGACAAACCTGCATTTTCAATTTCTATAATATACTGTATGACAGCTTTAAATATTGTAACAAATATATGTATACTTAGTATAGTACGGGTAGCTAGGGTCGGTGGGTGGGTGGAGGGCCACACTAGGTAGGTCAAATGCTGTCTTAATGATATGTGGATATGTATACAGTACATGCATACATTTACTGACTGAGCTGAAAGCCAAGGGTGGATAAACACACACTTAAGTGTATGTATCATGTATATTCACTAGAAATCAAACACCTCCCACACATACCCACAGCCTCACGCACTCACATTCAGCCACAGAACCACACACATGCACGGTACACACAGACACTTCACCCCCCCCCCCCCTCCCCCCTCCCCTCCTTTCAAACGCTCCATATAACAGCCGCCCACTTCCTTGTAACCTTTTCTCTGGAGACACACTCCGCTCTGAAGGTCAGGTCATTCCAAGAATCCATGTTCTTTCGAAAAGCTGCTGCTTATATAAAGTCTAGTGTGTGTGTGTCAGAGGCTACTGTCTTTGCAACATAGTGTGTTTTAATCAATTATTTGGTGACGTGATTATATTTAGTATAGTTTTATCTAAAAAGGATAACTTTTTAAATGTTTTACAATTTCTATTTTTTATTAAATTCACTGAGGAGGATGGACCTCCCCTTCCTCCTCTGAGGAGCCTCCACTGGTGCGTGTGTGTGTGTGTGTGGGGGGGGGGGGCTTGTACGCACTAGGAATGTGAGCTCTTAGAGGAGGAATCATCTTCCAGCATTCCTCAGAGAGAGAGAGAGAGGGGAAGAGAGAAAGAGGGGAAATAGGAAAGGCAGAGAGAGAAAAACAGTGCCGTATAGCGAGAGAGGGTAAAGAAAGACAGAGAAAGAGACACTGAGAGCCAACAAAATGTGTTGTGTACACCACAATAACACTGTTGGGTGGCTCGCGGGTGCTTAACACTAGAACCGCTGGGTCTTGAGGGACTCCCGCTTCAAGCTAATGAGCAGTCATTCTGACTGCAACATTCTAACAGTGTAATTAATACATTTCATAATAATTTGGTTGTTTATGAAGATCTTGGATAGCAGAATACGATTGTTTTATTTATTTAAAATAACAACAGCATTTTAAATAGTTTATGTTACTGTAAGCTATGTAAAAACTAAAACCCACTAAAAACACAAAAAAAGTGTTCAAATCAAAGTTTTGGGTGGAATGCCTTTGTTACAACTATAAAACAGAAAGCATAAGTGTTGGAACACGGTAACAGCTCAGTAGCCTAAACATCATTATAAGCGCCAAGTGGCCTTGATAGTGACAATCAGCACAAAATAAATCAAAAATAGTCAATTATTGTCAGCTTGTGCTTACATGGTGTGTGTCTTCACGCAATGGCATCAGTTGGATTTCATTTAGCTGTTACCCCTTGTCCCAACAGTTGACACAAATCTTCGTAACTTTCACTTGCTTGACACACTGACACAACTTGTTCGCCAATGAAGTGAAGAAATTGTCCATGGTGACATTTCTCCCTTTGCCAACGTAAGGTTCCACAAGCCTCAAAACCACATTTTCCGACACTCACTCACCTGCTGCCGGATGTGGATCTTTTCCCAGATATTGAAATCCATTCAGCATATACAATTATGCACACTCTCGCTGTGTAGCCTACTCCAAGTAGGCCAGAGTAGACTGTTAAGACTGCTTTGATTCGGTGGACTGATATAGGGTACATACCATTTTAAGATTATAATTAGAATGGATCAATACAATAGAATGGCCCGCCCTGTTCTTCATTCACAATTGGTGATTACATAATTATGCCTCTTTCGCTTCCCCTCGCTCATCAACTCACCCATTCTCCCCATCATACTTTACTTAATTTATTTCATCTGTTGTTATATGTGTGAAATTAGTTTCGATATAGTTTAGGTTCTGTTTCGAGGCAATTATCCGGGTGATTATCAGCTGGGCCCTGCACTTTCCACTGTCGGGAGAAGAAGGAGATTAGGCCCTACTGTTGGGAGAAGGAGGGGCAACTGGGAAAACCAGTCCAAAAAATGACATGCCCTCCTAAAACTGGTTATAACTCCAGTTCTGTTTGTGATATTAAGATTCTAACAACAATTGCAAAATAGTTGGGAAGTGTTTGCAAAATAGTTGGCATAGTGTTTATGAATTGATACGCAAAACGACGCCGGATTCAAAACTTAGAATTTTTCAATTTAAATTATATAAAATTCTTGCTACCAATAGAACGTTATTTATATGGGGGATACAATATTCCCAGTTCTGCAGATTTTGCTGCGAAGAGACAGAATCATTAGATCATTTGTTTTGGCACTGTCCATTTGTAGCTTGTTTTTGGACACAGGTCCAGGAATGGCTAAAGGATTGCAATATTTACCTGGAGCTAACCCTGCAGATAGCACTACTGGGTGATCTAAAAAGTCATAGTCAATCGATCAATAATATAATAATACTTTTAGCAAAAATATTTATATTCAATTTACGATCTGTTGAAACAATGAGAATAGAAAGGTTCAGAACTTTTGTAAAACATTACAGTACAGTTGAAAATTATATGGCAAATAGAAATCCAATATGGATGGTGTTAAGAGATAGATGGGAGGTGTTGAATGGAGCTGAAGGATGGGACTAATAACAACAAGATAACTAATGTAAAGCATACTGTGTTCATAATATGTATATAGGTTATAGGTTGAGAGCTTTTGTGAAAGAGCACAGTTAGACAAATATGGAATATAGAAGCAAACCAGATGGACATCATGAAAATGATCGGAGGAAGTTCAGGAGTAAAAACAAACAAAATAGAATTATTGTAGAATTTGACTGTGTCCATAAAATGTATATAGTATGTATGGGCTGGAAGTAGAGGCCTAAGCATTGTTGTTCACTAGTTTACTCCAATTGGGGAAGGGGTGGTGGGGTTGGAAAGTAATGAAGGGAAATATAATTTTAAAAAGGATGTGTGTGTGTGTGTGTGTATGGATGTATGTATATGTATGTGTGTATCTATATCTATATACAGTGGGGGAAAAAAGTATTTAGTCAGCCACCAATTGTGCAAGTTCTCCCACTTAAAAAGATGAGAGAGGCCTGTAATTTTCATCATAGGTACACGTCAACTATGACAGACAAAATGAGAATTTCTTTCTCCAGAAAATCACATTGTAGGATTTTTAATGAATTTATTTGCAAATTATGGTGGAAAATAAGTATTTGGTCAATAACAAAAGTTTCTCAATACTTTGTTATATACCCTTTGTTGGCAATGACACAGGTCAAACGTTTTCTGTAAGTCTTCACAAGGTTTTCACACACTGTTGCTGGTATTTTGGCCCATTCCTCCATGCAGATCTCCTCTAGAGCAGTGATGTTTTGGGGCTGTCGCTGGGCAACACGGACTTTCAACTCCCTCCAAAGATTTTCTATGGGGTTGAGATCTGGAGACTGGATAGGCCACTCCAGGACCTTGAAATGCTTCTTACGAAGCCACTCCTTCGTTGCCAGGGCGGTGTGTTTGGGATCATTGTCATGCTGAAAGACCCAGCCACGTTTCATCTTCAATGCCCTTGCTGATGGAAGGAGGTTTTCACTCAAAATCTCACGATACATGGCCCGATTCATTCTTTCCTTTACGCGGATCAGTCGTCCTGGTCCCTTTGCAGAAAAACAGCTCCAAAGCATGATGTTTCCACCCCCATGCTTCACAGTAGGTATGGTGTTCTTTGGATGCAACTCAGCATTCTTTGTCCTCCAAACACGACGAGTTGAGTTTTTACCAAAAAGTTATATTTTGGTTTCATCTGACCATATGACATTCTCCCAATCCTCTTCTGGATCATCCAAATGCACTCTAGCAAACTTCAGACGGGCCTGGACATGTACTGGCTTAAGCAGGGGGACACGTCTGGCACTGCAGGATTTGAGTCCCTGGCGGCGTAGTGTGTTACTGATGGTAGGCTTTGTTACTTTGGTCCCAGCTCTCTGCAGGTCATTCACTAGGTCCCCCCCGTGTGGTTCTGGGATTTTTGCTCACCGTTCTTGTGATCATTTTGACCCCACGGGGTGAGATCTTGCGTGGAGCCCCAGATCGAGGGAGATTATCAGTGGTCTTGTATTAATATTAATTAATATGCCATTTAGCAGACACTTTTATCCAAAGCGACTTACAGTCATGCGTGCATACATTTTTTTTGTGTATGGGTGGTCCCGGGGATCGAACCCACTACCTTGGCGTTAAAAGCGCCGTGCTCTACCAGCTGAGCTACAGAGGACCATTCCATTTCCTAATAATTGCTCCCACAGTTGATTTCTTCAAACCAAGCTGCTTACCTATTGCAGATTCAGTCTTCCCAGCCTGGTGCAGGTCTACAATTTTGTTTCTGGTGTCCTTTGACAGCTCTTTGGTCTTGGCCATAGTGGAGTTTGGAGTGTGACTGTTTGAGGTTGTGGACAGGTGTCTTTTATACTGATAACAAGTTCAAACAGGTGCCATTAATACAGGTAACGAGTGGAGGACAGAGGAGCCTCTTAAAGAAGAAGTTACAGGTCTGTAAGAGCCAGAAATCTTGCTTGTTTGTAGGTGACCAAATACTTATTTTCCACCATAATTTGCTAATAAATTCATAAAAAATCCTACAATGTGATTTTCTGGATTTTTTTCTCTCAATTTGTCTGTCATAGTTGACGTGTACCTATGATGAAAATTACAGGCCTCTCATCTTTTTAAGTAGGAGAACTTGCACAATTGGTGGCTGACTAAATACTTTTTTCCCCCACTGTATATATATATATATACAGTTGAAGTCGGAAGTTTACATACACTTAGGTTGGAGTCATTAAAACTAGTTTTTCAACCACTCCACAAATTTCTTGTTAACAAACTATAGTTTTGGCAAGTCGGTTAGGACATCTACTTTGTGCATGACAAAATTGTTTACAGACAGATTATTCCACTTATAATTCACTGTATCACAATTCCAGTGGGTCATAAGTTTACATACACTAAGTTGACTGTGCCTTTAAACAGCTTGGAAAATTCCAGAAAATTATGTCATGGCTTTAGAAGCTTCTGATAAGCTAATTGACATCATTTGAGTCAATTGGAGGTGTACCTGTGGATGTATTTCAAGGCCTACCTTCAAACTCAGTGCCTCTTTGCTTGACATCATGGAAAAATCAAAAGAAATCAGTCAAGACCTCAGAAAAATAATTGTAGCCCTCCACAAGTCTGGTTCATCCTTGGGAGCAATTTCCAAAACGCCTGAAGGTACCACATTCATCTGTACAAACAATAGTATGCAAGTATAAACACCATGGGACTACGCAGCCGTCATACCGCTCAGGAAGGAGACGTGTTCTGTCTCCAAGAGATGAACGTACTTTGGTGCAAAAAGTGCAACTCAGCAAAGGACCTTGTGAAGATGCTGGAGGAAACAGGTACAAAAGTATCTAAATCCACAGTAAAACGAGTCCTATATCGACATAACCTGAAAGGCCGCTCAGCAAGGAAGAAGCCACTGCTCCAAAACCGCCATAAAAAAGCCAGACTACGGTTTGCAACTGCACATGGGGACAAAGATCTTACTTTTTGGAGAAATGTCCATAATGGCAATCGTTATGTTTGGAGGAAAAAGGGGAACGCTTGCAAGCCGAAGAACACCATCCCAACCGTGACGCACAGGGGTGGCAGCATCATGCTGTGGGGATGCTTTGCTGCAGGAGGGACTAGTTCACTTCACAAAATAGATGGCATCATGAGGAAGGAAAATTATGTGGATATATTGAAGTAACATCTCAAGACATCAGTCAGGAAGTTAAAGCTTGGTCGCAAATGGGTCTTCCAAATGGACAATGACCCCAAGCATACTTCCAAAGTTGTGGCAAAATGGCTTAAGGACAACAAAGTCAAGGTATTGGAGTGGCCATCACAAAGCCCTGACCTCAATCCTATAGAAAATGTGTGGGCAGAACTGAAAAAGCGTGTGCGAGCAAGGAGGCCTACAAACCTGACTCAGTTACACAAGCTCTGTCAGGAGGAATGGGCCAACATTCACCCAACTTTATTGTGGGAAGCTTGTGGAAGGCTACCCAACACGTTTGACCCAAGTTAAACAATTTAAAGGCAATGCTACCAAATACTAATTGAGTGTATGTAAACTTCTGACCCACTGGGAATGTGATGAAAGAAATAAAAGCTAAAATAAATCTCTCTCTACTATTATTCTTACATTTCACATTCTTAAAATAAAGTGGTGATCCTAACTGACCTAAGACAGGGAATTTTTACTAGGATTAAATGTCAGGAATTGTGAAAAACAGAGTTTAAATGTATTTCACTAAGGTGTACGTAAACGTCCGACTTCAACCTTATATATGTATGTATGTATGTATGTATGTATGTATGTATGTATGTATGTATGTATGTATGTATGTATGTATGTATGTATGTATGTATGTATGTATGTATGTATGTATGTATGTATGTATATATTTGTGAGAAAAAAAACATGGGGGATTGGAAGTGATGCAGACAATTACATTGATGGAAGTTACAATCTGAAATATTAAAGCTGATCTACCCCCTAAAAAAAAAAAATATATATATATATATATATATATATATATAAAAAAAAGATTCTAACAACGACAGTGTTATATAGACTTATTTAGGAAAAGTCAAGGACGGAGGGGGGCATGACATTAAAAATTGGCTGAGTAATAAAACAATTAAAATCATGCAGTCAAAATGACTGATTTAGCGGTTCTAGTGTTAAGCTTTAGAGTCGTAAAGCAGTGCCTGCATGGCCACCATGCCAGCCCAGTGAGACCAGGAATAGCTCTCCTCTCCTTCTGTGCCCCCACTACCAACCTCCAAGCTGGTGGCTCAGAGAGCCTCACCCTGTTTGGCTGGGTCCGCCGCAGTAAACAACGAGCCAGCCGCAAGCACAACAAACCACAGACCCGGCTGGTACTCAAATCCAGCTGTTGTCGCCGACCCACAGCCCAAAACAACGCTCCCTCTGTTATTGACAGCGTAAAAAAACCACTCAGGGACGTGGAGAGAAACCAAAACCCTGCCCACTCCGTTGTGACTGACGAGTGAAAGAAACCACTTGGGTTGATTGACAGCTCAACAAAAGTTGTTGTGGTGTTAGAGTGAGTGAGGCAGTGCTACTGGCTCTCAACTTCAGCCTCTCAAACTACTGACTCAGATCACACTTCCTGTGTCAACTTTGACCTCTCACGATGAGGGCATAGAGGCCAAGACGCTTTAGTCGAACCCCCTACGGAACACTGACAGACTACAAAGCGTTGTCAAGATAATGTCATAAAAGACTGTTAGAGGTTATTTCCTTGACAACTTACTTCACCTAAACAATGGTCTGTGGCATGGAATTGCAAAGTAAGCTGTCAGCTTATGACATCTGCTATGTCATGCATATGACAGCGTTATGCAGCACCAAAGTCATAAGGTTAAGTCAAAGACAGTACAGTCTGAAGATGCCTAGAAACTGCTTCTCCAATAGAAATCCCTGATCACACTTGAAGGCGATGTCATGGCGACGTTAGCTAGCTAAGCTCATGCGTAGAAACACATCATTGGGTCTAAGGGTTGTCGCGCCGAACTGCACATTTACAGGCCGTCAAATCAAAATATAAAGTTGTTTCTGACAAAAATGAAAACGTGTCAGTTTGTCAATTTCACGAGGTTGGAGTAATAACATGTTCAGCTACTTAAGACATTGGCTTGAATCTAGGTTGTACCTTTAGAAAACGAGAAAATAAACTAAGGAAGAATTTTTCACTTCTCTCAATGATTTCCCAAACCCCGCTCTGGTTTGTCGACTCTGCTTCGCGAAGCGTTCCCGGAAGTATTGCGATGTTGGGCTTCTGGGTTCAGAAACTCTGTGGTCAAGTTGTCAAATGATCAAAGCATAGATACGCCAAAATGATGGCACTGAACAAGGCTTGGGGGCGCAGTGAAGCCAAAATGAAGGCATTTTATTTGAGAGCGTAGAGAAACCAAAATGGCGGCCCAGCTCTTGAAAGGACATGCGTGCGAGGCAGGCTCACCTTGTTTTCTCCCTCGATGACAATGACGGGCACGGAGGTGGCAGGCCAGCGGTGCTTAGCAGGGAGAGGCTTGTCACAGTTCCACAGCACAATGATCTGAGACGGGGGGGGGGGGGGAGAGAAAGAAAGAGAAAGAGAGATGGTGACAGAAACAGCGATTGAGAAGATAGAAGGGGTGGGGGAGTTAAAGGTGGAGGGAGAAAGATCACATGAGAATCACAGATATTACTTTCTAAAATTACACTTCATTTTAATTTATTAACCACATCACACTACATTCAACATTTCATTATCCAATTAAAAACATAACATCTGACATTTAAATCCATCCAAACACCCCACCGTTACATTGAATTGAGAGCCAAAACGTCTTAAGTAGGATTCCTTTTAATCTTTTCAACAATAGCGCCTCAGATCATGTTACATGGGGGTTACATGGGGGCTACATGGGAACTGTGTGCCCCTGTGACTGCCTTCCCTAACATGTAATTATACCTTGAGTTAACCTTAACGATACACTTCACTTTGACACCCGTCCACATTAGTGTTGTCACGATACCAACATTTTACTAACAATACCAGGCCAAGTATCACAATACCGAGTAGTATTGCGATACCACAGGGGAAAACTTCTGTGGACTAGCGTCCTGTTCGCCCCATCCGCCTGACGCTTGTTCCCGTTTTCTAAACGTTATGTGCTACACAAAAAACCTGTCTCTGATATTCACACTTTTACTCAACACAACACATATTGAATTTAAACTTCACACTGTTCACTGTATAATAGAATACTGCATAGAAGGGCTAATTTGCTCATATTTGCAAAGGCAACCTGTGATTTGGCTGGAGGACTGGGAGGAAGGAATATACATGCATAATGATCTGAATGTCATTGTGGCAGTAAGGGGAAAACACTGCATGAAACCTTCTACTCTTCAGTTAACACACAGACACTCTCCCTCCCTCACACACTCTCTCTGTGTCTGCCTCTCTCTCATAAACATATACACACCTCTCTCCCAAACACACACTGCTCCCAACTTTAAAAAGGTTAAGCACCAAACACAATGTAAGGAGCACCAGAAACAGAAAGATTTTTGATATAGTTAGGCCTATATGAATCCTACCTTTGAAGCATCTCATGAGTAGCAGACTCTTATCCTTTCTTCCTGTGCCAATCAAATTTGCATAGTTACCAGGTTGTTTACTAGCTAGGTAACATGACTGAACAACGTTGTTTGTTATCAAACCAATAATTAGCGGGCCGGGATTAGGTTTAAAATGGCCCGCTACATGGTTTGTGAAATTATATCAAATGCGTGCAAAATTGTGGGGGGACAAGCCGTTTTCTTTGCTATAAAGCTGCAAGCATGCCTGTAGCAAAGCTGTTTTTCCTCTCTGGCACTGCTGCATGACAGCGAACTTGCAAAGCCTATACTCAGACTGGCCTGTGCTCTTGGTTATATCAGGGATGAAATTATATACAATGTATTAATGTTGCTCACTCTGCGCACTGCTCCAATGTATAAAATGTACAAATGTAACAACAGAAGACTGATCAGGGTCTCCATCCCCGCTCGCCATCAAGGCTAAATTATATTTTAAAAACTGATGGAGGAATAGATGTGCAGGAAGAGCGGATGGAGAGAAGCAGGTGAGTGAGGGCTGGTAGGGGATAGGGCTGTGGCAGTCATGACATTTTGTCAGACAGTGATTGTCAAGCAAATAACTGCCGGTCTCACGGTAATTGACCATTAATTAACATAAACACATTTAGCATCTCCTGGCTTCCACGCTTAGCCTACAAACTACTGATGCAGACGTTTGGAACATCTACATTTAAAAAAGTCTAATAAATCCATGTTAAATAGCCTACACTAGCACAATAAAACCATTATTTATTTTAGACAGGTCTAAAGAAACATGAATGTAGTTTATTTCAAAGAAACAAAAATGTAGTTTATTTCAAAAGAACAGAATAGCATACTCTGAGTTGTCCTTATGTTAGGCCCTGATCTGGCTATGCCATATGGCTGTGGGCTACACTAGTTCATTTAGCAGACAAGACTTGCTTAGAATTGTGGAATTATTTGTATATTATAGTATGAAGAATACAATTGAACAAAGCTGAATAAAATAGAAAGGATATTTTCTACCAAACGATTATGGGAGTGCGCACATGCTCTTGGGCTGAATATAATAATTATAATTCCCTTCTCCCGGCTGCGTGCTCCGAAGCACCTCTCACTCCCATGGCTCTCTCAGATATCTCAATTCTTATTAGCCAATGCCGTCACGTGATCGGGTCCTTCTTACAGAATCTCGGGTCCTTCTCACAGGCTACAAGTGAAGACCGACACATCGGGGACGCAACTGCACGTATCCTTATCGAATTCCGAGCCGCATATTGAAGATGTTGGAAGAACTGTCCAAATCTACTGTTTGACAGCTAACAAGATGAGTAGGCCTAACGAACAACAAAAGCACTAGCCTATGTCAATCTACGATTCCCCATAGTACAAATATTGACCTATTCTATTCTGTGCGAGAAATAAATATTCCAAACATAGTCTGGGACAGTTGTGCAATGCGATATATCCCAACTTAATACAACCACTAGCATCAAAAAAACGTTTAAAAGCAATGAGGCCGATGTAACAGATCAGAGCATTTAACTTAAAATGTTGATAAACTATTAGGCTATTTCTTCACATTATAAGTGCAGCAATGTTTCCACTTCACAATAACAGCACTTACAGTTTCCCGGGGCAGCTCTAGCAGGGCAGAAATTTGACAAACTTACTTGTTGGAAAGGTGGCATCCTATGACAGTACCACGTTGAAAGTCACTGAGCTCTTTAGTAAGGCCATTCTACTGCCAATGTTTTCTATGGAGATTGCATGGCTCTGTGCTTGATTTTATACACCTGTCACCAACGGGTGTGGCTGAAATAGCCGAATCCATTCATTTGAAAGGGTGTCCACATACGTGTACTAAATAATATATGTGTGAAATTTGTTTTGATTTAGAATGGACCATTATCATGCACCTGTCTCGAAAAAAAACATGCAATCTATGCACTTAAATAGCGAATGGAGGATGCTTTTCCCGTGGTTCATTTTCATACCAGCCAGGTAGGCTATACTCCTGTTGTAAAGAAAAGCAATGTGCTTAATATTAGGAAAGTTGAGAAATAAATATAGTAGGCCTAGCCTATAGAAAGCTGATGGGATCCTCCTCTTTTTAAGAGGCCATCAAAACTGATTTCTCACCCAATTGCATAGCGTATAGAAATGTTGCGCAACATGAGCTCATAGGCTCTCATGAAGTGTTTGATTAGATGTTTGATTACATTTGCATTGATGTCAGCGTGATTAGAGGGACAATAGAGAGCTGAGTACCTAGACAGTTAGCAAGTTTGTTAGGCTACTAATGACCATCAGTAGCATCAGAGCTTGGAGAAGCCTAATTACCTTTACTAAACGGTCACGTGGAATTTGACTGCCGTCATGATTTGTGACCGCCGGTGTGGCGTTATTACGGTCACCGTAACAGTAGGGGATGCGGCTGATATGCACATGAAAGTGAAGTGGACATTATTGGACCAGTGTATACAAGAGACTAGCTGATGTTGCTTATTTTTTTTTACTGAACTTATAAACAACTGACTTTATAACCATTTTATAACAGGCGCCAGTGGCTTCTTTAGCTCGGTAGGTCCGAAATGTTGGTAGTATCATATGAAACGGTACTACGGTATTCTAAAATGTTGGTATCATAAGTTTAGTGTGTTGCGTATGTGTTTCAGTGTGTGTTTCAGTATGAGTGTGTGTATATGTTTTTACATTTTAGTAATTTAGCAGACGCTCTTATCCAGAGCGACTTACAGTTATTCGTTTTTTTGTTCATACTGGCCCCCCGTGGGAATCGAACCCACAACCCTGGCGTTGCAAGCGCCATGCTCTACCAACTGAGCTACACGGGGCCCATATATGTGTGCCAGTGATGTGAGCGACACACACAGTTCCTCTGTAAAACTGTGGAACACACGCACTCACAGCAGGAAGTCCACAATCTCTGCATGCATGTCTCTGCCAGCGCCGTCTCAAAAGCGTTCTTGCTCCAAATTCTCTGTCCCCACCCTCTCTCTCTCCCCATTTTCTCTTTCATTCTCTCCCTCCCATTCATTTATTTATATCCCGCTCTTCTCCACTTCCCGGCCCCCTCAACATGGAAGTCTTTGTGGGCTGAGAGTGAGATATAAAATGTTGATACTTTTCATATGTACCTGGCTCTCAGCTTTGCATAGGGAGCCTGCAATCTAGAATACAAAGCACTTCTATATAGAAGGGAGGGTTGCACACCTCCCTACACGTTGGGAAACATTTAAGAAGCATTAGGGTGGAGTGTGTATAACACACTATAGTATACACAGCTATCGGGGGGGATGACTTGGTTTAATTCACCCAGCCCTGGTTAAAACCAATGAAGGGATCAATACTTATTGTATCCAGCTGAGCCACGGGGCTTTCAGACGGACACGCCCGCACAGGCACATGCACGCACACAGTGAGAGAGATGGAGTTGGTGTCATAGAGACAGATGCCCAATTCAATCCACAGGAGTTAACTCCGAGGTGGTAGAGAAAGACGTTGGTTCTCTACCGGTGCTTGAGAAATGTCCTTTTAAAAACTGGCTCGGCAATGATGCTATGAAATCCCTCACAGTTGAAGTAATATTGGGTTTTGGGAGTGTTACAACAATTGAAGGGACACGGACATGAATGTGCACACACGTTTGTGGCTTCTTACCTGTGCACAGTACTGTGATTTGGCAACAGCCACCAGCAGCTTGAGGATGGGCTGGGATTGGGAGACCAGAGGGGTGACTGCATGGATGACTGCTGTGAACTTGGGGTACGGTTTTGTACCTGGAACGTAACACAGATCAAATGTACAATATTACTGGTAAGGTTTGATACCTACAATACAGACAAACATATGATATTTGTTAAAGTTGGATGGCTGGAACACAGAAAACAGAAAGTAGGATATTGACGTCACTCTGTCTTATACTGTATAACTGAACAAAGAGACAAAAATGTTGGTGATTCTCAGAAGTTTAGCCTCTAGGCACATTTCTTTTGATATCGCCAAATCCATCAGTTTGTTCAAAGTCATTATCCTCAGTTTCCTCAATTACCGCAGGCATAAAAAAAAAAAGACAAAACATTTATATGAGAAATCATTCCAAACTAGACCTAAATGGTTCATTCTCTGTATGTTTTCACATTGTAGTTATTGGTGGTTATGCTTTAGTATTTACAGTGCATTCGGAAAGTATTCAGACCCCTTCCCTTTTTCCAAATTTTGTTTTGTTACAGCCTTATTCTAAAAAAAAAAAAAAAAAAAAATTGTATCCTCATCAATCTACACACAATAATAATGACAAAGCGAAAAGAGATTAATTTATTTTTTAAATGTATTACAAATAAAAAACAGATACCTCACTTACATAAGTACTCCGACCCTTTGCTATGAGACTCGAAATTGAGCTCAGGTGCATCCTGTTTCCATTGATCATCCTTGAGATGTTTCTACAACTTGATTGGTGTCCACCTGTGCAAATTCAATTGATTGGACATGATTTGGAAAGGCACACACCTGTCGATATAAGGTCCCACAGTTGACAGTGCATGTCAGAGCAAAAACCAAGCCATGAGGTCGAAGGAATTGTCCGGAGAGCTCCGAGACAGGATTATGTTGAGGCACAGATCTGGGGAAGGTTACCAAAACATTTCTGCAGCATTGAAGGTCCCCAAGAATACAGTGGCCTCCATGATTCTTAAATGGAAGAAGTTTGGAACCACCAAGACTCTTCCTAGGGCTGGCCGCCCAGCCAAACTGAGCAATCGGGGGAGAAGGGCCTTGGTCAGGGAGGTGATCAAGAACCCGATGATCACTCTGACAGAGCTCCAGAGTTCCTCTGTGGAGATGGGAGAACCTTCCAGAAGGACAACCATCTCTGCAGCACTCCACCAAATCAGGCCTTTATGGTAGAGTGGCCAGACGGAAGCCACTCCTCAGTAAAAGGCACATGACAGCCTGCTTGGAGTTTGCCAAAAGGCACCTAAAGTACTCTCAGACCATGATAAACAAGATTCTCTGGTCTGATGAAACCAAGATTGAACTCTTTGGCCTGAATGCCAAGCGTCACGTCTGGAGGAAACCTGGCACCATCCCTACGATGAAGCATGGTGGTGGCAGCATCCTGCTGTCGGGATGTTTTGAGCGGCAGGGACTGGGAGACTAGTCAGGATCGAGGGAAAGATGAACGGAGCAAAAGTACAGAGAGATCCTTGATGAAAACCTGCTCGAGAGCAATCAGGACCTCAGACTGGGGCGAAGATTCACCTTCCAACAGGACAACGACCCTAAGCACACAGCCAAGACAACGCAAGAGTGGCTTCGGGACAAGTCTCTGAATGGCTGTAATCGCTGCCAAAGGGGCATCAACAAAGTACTTAGTGAAGGGTCTGAATACTTATGTAAATGTCATATTTCCGTTTTATTTTACTTCATATAAATTTGCAAAAATGTCTAAAAACCAGTTTTTGCTTTGCCATTATGGGGTATTGTGTGTAGATTGATGAGGGGGAGGAACAATTTCATCCATTTTAGAATAAGGCTGTAACGTAACGAGTACTTTCCGAAGGCACTGTACTTGTAGACCATGCTTACATAAACAGCTGATTAGGACCTCATTGTTTACGAGATGAAAGGAGATTTCTTATTAAATTATTGATCTCAATTCATATCCACAACACCAATCATTTTTATGAACTACTGTAAACAAACTAAGGGTTAGAGGCATTGGCTCCTCATAATAACAGATTGGATTCAGAGTGTCATTACGAGATAGATTCTCATGTATCATCAGTCTCATTTAGTCCTCCAACACTCCACCTTGTCTCTTTAAAACCTCCACATGCTTAATTGTCGACTCCGTGACAAACAAATAAAACTCACCGCGGGGTAATCCATGCTTGTCACCGCGCGATTGTTTCAATATTTGCACCTCGCACCGAGGTGCTCAATCAAAAGGGTTGTGTATTGAGGGAGCTGACTAGCTGACTTCATCGACGAGATGACGATAGAGTTACATAGAGGAAAAGGGCAGAGTCCCAAATAGCACCCTATCCCCTTTATAGTGCACTACTTTTGAGTTGGGCCTATAAAGCTCTGGGTCAGAAGTAGTACACTACATAGGGAACAGGCAGCCATTTGGGACGCATAAAGGCCTTTGAGGTCACAGATTGTTACAGAGGCGCAGTCTGTGTTGGTGAACCGGTGCAGCAGTATATGGCGTGTTCACTGAGTGAAACGAACGACTGACTGACTATTTGGCGTGTCAGCGGGCCTAATGCGAGCATCAATCAAGGGTCGTTCGAGTAACATGTTGTTCTAGCCACTGTAACGAGTCAATTGATCTAGTGGGACAGCGTCTTGGCTGCGTAGTCCTTTAAGACTCTGTCACAGATGGAATCCAAGGTGCCAGAAACAGACGCTTCTCATTTAAAAGGACATATGGAGGGGGGCTAGCAGTATATCATAGGCTAGGGGCAATGTTTAAGAAGACACAAGGACTCTACCCATAACAGATAGCGTGTACCTACTACTCGACCAAACACACAATGCAATGAGATTAGATATTCTGGTGTGGCAAGGTAACTTCCCATGTGCATCCCTAGTATATCTATAGCTCAAGACATTCAATAAAGGACTGCTGTTAAACAGATACTGAACGACTGGTGCTACCATGCAATTAATGCGATAGAGGAGTGGAGTTTTTCCTAGCCAATGTGTTTCTGCTTGGGCTTGCTCTTTGGGATCTAGAACGGGTAACTGTAAAAGCACTTTGTGACAACAGCTGGTGTGAAAAGGCCATATAAATACATTTGATTGATTGGTTGATTGAGAGGAGGGGTACTCACCTAGGGTGGCGTAGTAGAAGGGGAAGTCTCCCAGGTGGGCAGAGTACTGTGGCAGGGCGAAGAGCCCCCCGGGGTGGCTGTTCCACATCAAGGTGCTCCTGGACTCCTGCTGCAGCACCCGGTCCTGGATGATCTGATGGCAAGATGGGATGGGCGGAAGTTAAACCAGTCCTTCCAACAGAACATTCATATAGACACTAAACACCAGTCACTCAAAACAGATAGACACTAGGGTTATATCATTATATTATTATTATTAGGTGTGTGTCCAGTAGAGTGAAACATTCTGAATGTTGGAGATAGCTGTATAATGTAATAGACCAGAGCTCCCCAACCCTCTTCCTGGAGAGCGACCGTCTTGTAGGTGTTCGCTCCAACCCTAATCTAGCGCACCTCATTCTAATAATTAGCTGGTTGATAAACTGAATCAGGTTAGTTACAACTGGGGTTGGATTGAAAACCTAAAGGAGGGTAGCTCTCCAGGAAGAGGGTTGGAGAGCCCTATAGTAGACTGACCCGGTTTAGTACACTTTATTTCTATCCGCATTGCTCGAAAATGTTTCAGCCACTTGATTAAGCCCCAGTAATACAGTGAGACATCTAACAGGAGCCGCTTACATACAAGACATCCAAATAAATCTGTAACTCAGTACCAGTATGGACACCAGTCAGTCATTCAAATAGAAGCTGTGCCCAAAATATACTTCACACACGACAGAACAAACCAGTTCAGTTGTACATACAGTGAAACACCAGTCACTCCAATGAGGAGTCCACTCATTCATTCCCCTACAAATAGACCAGTCACTCACACATCCAAACACCAATACCAGACTGGCCATTTTCCCCTGTTGCTTTCTCTAAGGGGGGATACAATTGGCTGCTGTTGTGGTATCGAGGTGCGACAAACGCGATATTACCACTGTGCCCTTGAGCAAGTGCTAAATTGCTTCCGTAAAACATTCACAGGTTTGCAGCCGTGTTTTATGGCTCTCTATTGAATCCTACGGTGGCAGAATAGGTGGCGGGGTGACTTGGCCGTTGGCTTGGTAACAATGTGAAAAGTCTCGGGTGGTTGTGGATGGAAAGCGACAGTGGGCGGTAGGCGGCTCGAGACGGGAGCTAATAATACCACTGGAGGGGTCTATATTTGTTTATTTGGATCCCCATTAGCTTTAGCAGAAGCAGCAGCTACTTTTCCTGGGGTGCACAAAAAACACAAAACATGACAAAACACTTATACACTGATAGACAAGGACAGTCACAGATTTAAAAGATAAAGATACAAAAAAAAAATTATACAAACAATTAAACTAAAAAATGCTGTGTTAAGAGTGTGTTTGTGCATCCCCTCAGTCCCCACCGTTCCATGAGATGTTGTTTCATCTGTTTTTTAAAGGTATTTCGCTGTTGCTTGAGTAACTGGAGATGGAAGGGAGTTCCATGCGATCATGGCTTTGTATAATACTGTAATAATATTGACAAAGCAATATAAAAACTCATCTGAGGAGGTGGGGAAAAGAAACGAGAGGCAGTTTTCCACTGCTACGGCCCCTCAGGGCAGTCAATAACCACTTGCCTCAGCCCAACAGATTAACTGGGAATCCTTTAGCCTCACAATAAAAAGCACTCACCACCTTAAAACTGGGGCCTTAAGACCTTATGAAGGGCTATTTTTCTTGCATGGCTGAAATCCTTCCCCTTGAGTGTCCTGGCCGAGCATGATGGACGACTCAATCTAGCCTCCCAACAGCTACAATCAGCCAATTAAGAGGATAATAGATAAAAACGTTTCGGAAACACACTGTAATTCTGTTTAATAGGTGTGCCGGAAAGCAGCGGGAACAGGGAAGGCTCCATTGGCTTTGTGATTGGTCTAAACTTCTCAACTTTCTGACAGGAAACACAACGTGATTGGTTGGGATTGTTCTCTTGCTTGTTTACTCGCTCGCCAACTCAGCCGCCCACCACACAGATGCTGGAGTGTGTGAAGTCGGGAGAGGAAAACGCAGGGAGTGTGTGGAGATTAAAAAGTCGAGAGATTGTGTGTGTATCGGCCTAGATCTGCAGCCGACCGAGCGTGACACAGCCGAATGAATAACCCATGCCGCTCGTTATCTCGGGAGCTGCCAAGGCAGCGGCATTAACATACACTACATGACCAGAAGTATGTGGACACCTGCTCGTCGAACATCTCATTCCAAAATCATGGGCTTTAATATGGAGTTGGTCTCCCCTTTTCTGCTATAACAGCCTGCACTCTTCTGGGAAGACTTTCCACTAGATGTTGGAACATTGCTGGGGGGACTTCCATTCAGCCACAAGAGCATTAGTGAGGTCGGGCACTGATGTTGGGCGATTAGGCCTGGCTCACAGTCTGCATTCCAATTCATTACAAAGGTGATCGATGGGGTTGAGGTCAGGGCTCTATGCTGTAGCTTTAAGATTTCCCTTCACTGGAACTAAGGGGCCTAGCCCGAACCATGAAAAACAGCCCCAGACCATTATTACTCCCCTACCAAACTTTACAGTTGGCACTATGCATTGGGGCAGGTAGCGTTCTCTTGGCATCTGACCAAACCCAGATTTGTCCATGGTGAAGTGTGATTCATCACTCCAGAGAACGTGTTTCCACTGCTCCAGAGTCCAATGGCGGCAAGCTTTACACCACTCCGGCCGACGCTTGGCATTGCGCATGGTGATCTTATGCTTGTGTGGCTGCTCGACCATGGAAACCCATTTCATGAAGCTCCTGACGAACAGTTATTGTACTGACATTGCTTCCAGAGGCAGTTTGGAACTCGGTAGTGAGTGTTGCAACCGAGGACAGACGATTTTTACACGCTAAGCACTTCAGTACTCAGCGGTCCCATTCTGTAAGCTTGTGTGGCCTACCACTTCGCGGCTGAGCCGTTGTTGCTTCTAGACGTTTCCACTTCACAATAACAACACTTACAGTTGACCGGGGCAGCTCTAGCAGGCCAGAAATTTGACGAACTATCTTGTGGCATCCTATGACATTGCCACGTTGAAAGTCATTGAGCTCTTCAGTAAGGCCATTCTACTGCCAATGTTTTTCTCTGGAGATTGCATGGCTGTGTGCTCGATTTTATACACCTGTCGGCAACAGGTGTGGCTGAAATAGCCGACTCGACTAATTTGAAGGGCTGTCCACATACTTTTGTATATATAGTGTATGTCACCCTCCGTTCCCCCCTCTACACCACCCCCACCAAATATCTCTTACTTCTTTATCCCTGGTTTACTCGTTTAGTCCTCGTCTCTCCCTTGAACACATTCACCACATAAACAACAACACGGCTAAGTCACCCGGGCTGTGCAGTGTTACAATGCCCCCGCCCCACCTTTGCACAGTGACAACATGTCAGTGGGGTTAAGCCTGGGTGCCACCTGCCGAGCCGGGGCCCAAACACTGAGACGTATGGAGATGTGTGTGTGAGATAGCAGCGATCCCAGGTTGAGACTAGTAGAGATAAAGGTAATTGGCACAACAGACAAAAGATGTCCACCAAGTTGGTGAAGCTAGTATGAATACTCAGATTGGAGATTGTGAGATTGGATGAGATTGTGGGGCTCGTTTTACGCCAAGGCCCACCGATAAATCTACAATAATCGAGAATTTCAACAAGCATTCTGCTACGGCTGGCCATGCTTTCCACCTGGCTACCATTACCCCGGCCACCAGCTCTGCACCCTCCGCTGCAACTTGCCCATGCCCCCCCCCCGCTTCTCCTTCACACAAATTCAGACAGCTGATGTTCTGAAAGAGCTGCAAAATCTGGACCACTACAAATCATCTGGGCTAGACAATCTGGACCCTTTCTTTCTAAAATTAGCTGCCGAGATTGTCGCAACCCCAATTACTAGCCTGTTCAACCTCTCTTTCGTAACGTCTGAGATCCTCAGAGATTGGAAAGCTGCCGCGTTCATCCCCCCAGGTCTTCATCGACCTGGCCAAGGCTTTCGACTCTGTCAACCACCGTATTCTTATTGGCAGACTAAATAGCCTTGGTTTCTCAAATGACTGCATCGCCAGGTTCACCAACTACTTCTCAGATAGAGTTCAATGTGTCAAATCGGAGGGCCTGTTGTCTGGACCTATGGCAGTCTCTATGGGGGTGCCACAGGGTTCAATTCTCGGGCCGACTCTTTTCTCTGTGTATATCAATGATGTCGCTCTTGCTGCTGGTGACTTTCAGATCCACCTCTACGCAGACGACACCATTTTGTATACATCTGGCCCTTCATTGGACACTGTTTACAAACCTCCAAACGAGCTTCAATGCTATACAACACTCCTTCCGTAGCCTCCAACTGCTCTTAAACACTAGTAAAACTAAATGCATGCTCTTCAATCGAACGCTGCTGGCACCCGCCCACCCGACTAGAATCACTACCCTCGGCGGGTCTGACCTAGAGTATGTGGACAACTACAAATACCTAGGTGTCTGGTAAGACTAAACTCTCCTTCCAGACTCACATTAAGCATCTCCAATCCAAAGTTAAATCTAGAATCGGCTTCCTATTTCGCAACAAAGCCTCCTTCACTCATGCTGCCAAACATGCCCTCGTAAAACTGACTATCCTACCGATCCTTGACTTCGGCGATGTCATTTACAAAATAGCCTCCAACACTCTACTCAGCAAATTGGATGTAGTCTATCACAGTGCCATCCGTTTTGTCACCAAAGCCCCATATACTACCCACCACTGTGACCTGTACGCTCTTGTTGGCTGGTCCTCACTACATATTCGTCGCCAAACCCACTGGCTCCAGGTCATCTATAAATCACTGCTAGGCAAATCCCCGCCTTATCTTAGCTCATTGGTCACCATAGCAACACCCACCCATAGTATGCGCTCCAGCAGGTATATCTCACTGGTCATCCCCAAAGCCAACACCTCCTTTGGCCGCCATTCCTTCCAGTTCTCTGCTGCCAATGACTGGAACGAACTGCAAAAATCTCTGAAGCTGGAGACTCTTATCTCCCTCACTAACTTTAAGCATCAGTTGTCAGAGCACCTTACCGTTCACTGCACCTGTACACACCCCATCTGAAATTAGCCCACCCAACTACCTCATCCCCATATTGTTATTTATTTTGCTCATTTGCACCCCAGTATCTCTATTTGCACATCTCTTACACATCTATCATTCCAATGTTAATACTAAATTGTAATTATTTTGCACTATGGCCTATATATTGCCTTACCTCCATAACTTGCTACATTTGCACACACTGTATATATATTTTCTGTTGTATTTTTTTTACTTTGTTTTGTTTTACCCCATATGTAACTCTGTGTTGTTGTTTTTATCGCACTGCTTTGCTTTATCTTGGCCAGGTCGCAGTTGTAAATGAGAACTTGTTCTCAACTGGCTTACCTGGTTAAATAAAGGTGAAATAAAAAAATTAAAAGGCTGTGTAGAAAATAGAGATACATTTGAGATTGGTACCATGCTATTGCGTAGACCAGGGATAGGCAACTAGATTCAGCTGCGTGCCAAATTTGTCTGAGCGAATTGTCAGGGGAACGGAACATAATTATAATAATTTGTACACTGCAAATTGAACTCAACTAACCCCAAAAAGAGATTGTATTTGAAAATAACTATAATTTCATACCTTGATTACATTGAGACACAAATCACATCTTTTTTTAATTCATGGGAATACTTGGAACAGATTTCCTAAATTAAACTAATTTTTTGCTGAATTCCTGGTGACAACCCAAAAACAACCTATGTAAAAATCACAAAAAAATCACTCGTGGGGTGGTTTTGGCACGTGGGCTGCCTGTTGCCGATCCCTGGCGTAGACTGTGCCCTATGAGCGAAAGACGTTGAAAAGATGTTGAAAATACGTATTTTCAACGTCTTGTCTTCATAGGGTGATGCATTTGCAACCGTAGTGTGAGGTGTGAGGGGTTGGAGTGTGAGGATGTAAGGTCAGACACTTGGGAATAAACAGAGATTGCAGTGAGGCTAGCGCGACATTGGAACTCTGGAAGACAGATGGAGATTGATAGCTGAGGAGACAGAGAGAAAATGAGAAAGAAAGTGTGTGGGTATGTGTGTTTTGTGTGTGTATGTGTACAGTGCATTCAGGAAAGTATTCAGACCCCTTGACTTTTTCTACATTACAGCCTTATTCTAAAATTGATTAAATAGTTTTTTTCCTTCATCAATCTACACACAATACCCCATAATGCAAAGCAAAAACAGGTTTAGACATTTTAGCAAATGTATTAAAAATAGAAATATCACATTTACATAAGTATTCAGACCCTTTGCTATGAGACTACAAATTTAGCTCAGATGCATCCTGTTTCCTTTGATCATCCTTGAGATGTTTCTACAACTTGGAGTCCATCTGTGCTAAATTCAATTGATTGGACATGATTTGGAAAGGCACACGCCTGTCGATATAAGGTCCCACAGTTGACAGTGCATGTCAGAGCAAAAACCAAGCCATGAGGTCGAAGGAATTGTCCGTAGATCTCTGAGACAGGATTGTGTCGAGGCACAGATCTGGGGAAGGGTACCAAAATAATTCTGCAGCATTGAAGGTCCCCAAGAACACAGTGGCCTCCATCATTCTTAAATGGAAGAAGTTTGGAACCACCAAGACTATTCCTAGAGCTGGTCGCCCAGCCAAACTCAGCAATCTGGGGAGAACGGCCTTGGTCAGGGAGGTGACCAAGAACCCGATGGTCACTCTGACAGAGCTCCAGAGTTCCTCTGTAGAGATGGGAGAACCTTCCAGAAGGACAACCATCTCTACAGCACTCCACCAATCAGGCCTTTATGGTAGAATGGCCAGACGGAAGCCACTCCTCAGTAAAAGGCACATGACAGCCCGCTTGGAGTTTGCCAAAAGGCACCTAAAGGACTCTGACCATGAGAAACAAGATTCTCTGCTCTGATGAAACCAAGATTGAACTCTTTGGCCTGAATGCAAAGCGTCACGTCTGGAGGAAACCTGGCACCATCCCTACGGTGAAGCATGGTGGTGGCAGCATCATGCTGTGGGGATGTTTTTCAGCGGCAAGGACTGGGAGACTAGTCAGGATCGAGGGAAAGATGAACGGAGCAAAGTACAGAGAGATCCTTGATGAAAACCTGCTCCAGAGCGCTCAGGACCTCTGGGGTGAAGGTTCCCCTTCCAACAGGACAACGACCCTAAGCACACAGCCAAGACAACGCAGGAGTGGCTTCGGTAAAAGTCTCTGAATGTCCTTGAGTGGCCTAGCCAGAGCCTGGACTTTAACCCAATCGAACATCTCTGGAGAGACCTGAAAATAGCTGTGCAGCGACGTTTCCCATCCAACCTGATAAAGCTTGAGAGGATCTGCAGAGAAGAATGGGAGAAATTCCCCAAATACAGGTGTGCCAAGCTTGTAGCGTCATACCCAACAAGACGAGGCTGCAATCGCTGCCAAAGGTGCTTCAACAAAGTACTGAGTAAAGTGTCTGAATACTTATGTAAATGTGATATTTCAGGTTTTTCTTATTTACAAATTTGCTAAAATTTATAAAAACCAGTTGTTGCTTTGTCATTATGGGGTATTGTGTGTAGATTGATGAGGAAAAAATGATTTAATCAATTTTAGAATAAGGCTGTAATGTAACAAAATGTGGAAAAAGTCAAGGGGTCTGAATACTTTCCGAATGCACTGTATGTATGTGTGTGTGTGTTTCAGTATTTTGTGGTGTATGTGTGTTTTTCTGTGTGCATGTGTCAATGCGTGCATGTATGTGTGTGTGTGTGTGTGTGTGTGTGTGTGTGTGTGTGTGTGTCTCTCTCTCACCTCCAGAGTAGTCAGCACAATCTTCTCCATGGAGGAGAAGTAGGCCTCCCACAGGAACTGGGTCTGCTGCCTCAGAGCTAGGATGTTATCCTGATGGATGGAGCGCACCGTGGATGGGATCTAGAGGAGGACAGGAAGAGGACACTGTTAAATAGAGGGGATGGAGAGAGGAGGGGGGCAGGGAGAGGGAGGTGTAGGGATGAAGGAGGGGACAACACGCCATGGTCGGTCAGAGAGAGGGAGGGATAGAGGAAGGGAGGGATAGAGGGAAACAGGGAGCGACTAACTAAACTTAAGAAACGCCCGTTCTAATTTTCTGTTGCAAAATGTTTTGCTAAGGTGTGCCTAGCCTCTAATGAATATGATCCTGGGCTGAGAGACCCAGTGAGTGGACTCTCCGGCCAATCATTGACATTCATTGCGTTAACGCTAGTTATCATTGGCTTGTTACCTCCAACTTCCTTGATATTGCACGCAGAGACATAAATGGTATCCACAAGTTAATCTGACTCTTGGTAAGTAAAATCTTGCAGTATCCCTTTAAAAGGGTTGAAGGATGGAGAAGGAGGTTAAGGGGTTGGTGAGGGGTGTGCGTCGTACCTGCAGCAGCAGCCTCTCGTCCCCGATGACGGCCGCCGTGTTCCAGTTGATGATCTCAGAGAAGGGCAGCTCCCAGCCGTTACTCAGCATCACAGGCACACAGGCTGCCTAAAGACAGAGATACACAACACAGAGGGAGAGAGGGAGACAGAGAGAGAGAGAGAGAGCGAGAGAGAGAGAGCGAGAGCGAGAGAGAGCGAGAGAGAGCGAGAGAGAAGGGACACGGAGAGGGGTGGAACAGAGAAAGTAAAAAATTGAAACAGACTTGGAAATAGATTGAATAAAACAGCACACAGCGAGAACGAGACAGCAAAAAGAGAGAAAGTGACAAAGAAGGTTTGAGGAAGAAAAAATAGAGAGAAGAAGAGAGGTAACCAAGCTGAGGCTGGTCTTTGGCAGTGGCGAAGTAGAGGAGACTAATGGAGAGGTAGAGGCATGGAGGGAAGAGGAGAGAAGAACAGCTGGTGCAGTGGGATGAGAGTTTGACGTAATGACAGCCCTGTCAATCAGGGGTCATAAAGGTGTCAGCTAAAACAGCACCGGCCCCCGGGCCCTGCTCTCACACTGCCTCTCTCCTACAAACATACACTCAAATACAAGTGGAGGCTCATGCATTCACACTAACCTTTGACTCGCACACACACTCACCAAGGTAGACGCACACACACACAAACACACACTCTCTCCTTTCTCTAGATGAGTGGAGAGGCTAGGAGAGATGGACTGAGTGGTGTGAGTCAGAGTGAAAGTGTAGGAGAGAGGAGAAAGAGACACAAGTGTATACTTTCTGTGGAGAAGTGTGCACTAATATTAGAGGTGATGACGGAGCACTTCAGACTGTGGAAGTAGATAGAGTGGTAGGCGCACACTCAGTGCAGAAGTGTGCAATAAAGTGTGACAGGTGTGAGGTTTAGGTTACGAAGTATGCAGCGGTTGGATGGAATCTGACAAGTGGATACGCTGTAGGTTGGGATTGAAGGGCACAAGTATGCAGCGGTTGAGTGGTAATGGCAAGTGCATATGGAGTGGGAGTAAGTATGCACTTACAAGTGTGGTAATGAAGTGTGTATATAAGAGAGTGTAAGGGTTCTGTGATACTTGGAGGAGATGAAAGGGGTGGGTAGGACGGAGGGAGTAGAAATGCACTTGCAGTGTAAAAAATAGTGAAGTTGCAATGTAAGTGGTTTCACTGTGTGAGAATGACAGTGTGGTAGTAAAGATCATGCATAGCACAGCACAGTAGTGATGGGTGAAAAAAATGTGATCGTTACATATCGCAATGTTATTTTGGACTATATACAGTGAGGGAAAAAAGTATTTGATCCCCTGCTGATTTTGTACGTTTGCCCACTGACAAAGAAATGATCAGTCTATAATTTTAATGGTAGGTTTATTTGAACAGTGAGAGACAGAATAACAACAAAAACATCCAGAAAAACGTATGTCAAAAATGTTATGAATTGATTTGCATTTTAATGAGGGAAATAAGTATTTGACCCCCTCTCAATCAGAAAGATTTCTGGCTCCCAGGTGTCTTTTATACAGGTAACGAGCTGAGATTAGGAGCACACTCTTAAAGGGAGTGCTCCTAATCTCAGCTTGTTACCTGTATAAAAGACACCTGTCCACAGAAGCAATCAATCAATCAGATTCCAAACTCTCCACCATGGCCAAGACCAAAGAGCTCTCCAAGGATGTCAGGGACAAAATTGTAGACCTACACAAGGCTGGAATGGGCTACAAGACAATCGCCAAGCAGCTTGGTGAGAAGGTGACAACAGTCGCAAATGGAAGAAACACAAAAGGACTGTCAATCTCACTCGGCCTGGGGCTCTATGCAAGATCTCACCCCGTGGAGTTGCAATGATCCTGAGAACGGTGAGGAATCAGTCCAGAACTACACGGGAGGATCTTGTCAATGACCTCAAGGCAGCTGGGACCATAGTCACCAGGAAAACAATTGGTAACACACTACACCGTGAAGGACTGAAATCCTGCAGCGCCCGTAAGGTCCCCCTGCTCAAGAAAGCACATATACATGCCCGTCTGAAGTTTGCCAATGAACATCTGAATGATTCAGAGGAGAACTGGGTGAAAGTGTTGTGGTCAGATGAGACCAAAATGGAGCTCTTTGGCATCAACTCAACTCGCCGTGTTTGGAGGAGGAGGAATGCTGCCTATGACCCCAAAACCACCATCCCCATTATGCTTTGGGGGTGTTTTGCTGCTAAGGGGACAGGACAACTTCACCGCATCAAAGGGACGATGGACGGGGCCATGTACCGTCAAATCTTGGGTGAGAACCTCCTTCCCCCAGCCAGGGCATTGAAAATGGGTCATGGATGGGCATTCCAGCATGACAATGACCCAAAACACACGGCCAAGGCAACAAAGGAGTGGCTCAAGAAGAAGCACATTAAGGTCCTGGAGTGGCCTAGCCAGTCTCCAGACCTTAATCCCATAGAAAATCTGTGGAGGGAGCTGAAGGTTCTAGTTGCCAAACATCAGCCTCGAAACCTTAATGACTTGGAGAAGATCTGCAAAGAGGAGTGGGACAAAATCCCTCCTGAGATGTGTGCAAACCTGGTGGCCAACTACAAGAAACGTCTGACCTCTGTGATTGCCAACAAGGGTTTGGCCACCAAGTACTAAGTCATGTTTTGCAGAGGGGTCAAATACTTATTTCCCTCATTAAAATGCAAATCAATTTATATCATTTTTGACATGCGTTTTTTTTATTTTTTATTCTGTCTCTCACTGTTCAAATAAACCTACCATTAAAATGATAGACTGATAATTCCTTTGTCAGTGGGCAAACGTACAAAATCAGCAGGGGATCAAATACGTTTTTCCCTCACTGTAGATACTTTGCCTCCAAGTATCGATTTGTAAGGTAGCGTTAGCTAGCGCTAGCCGGCTGTACCTGCACCAAAAATTCCGGTATTTTTCATCCTATAGCTTGTTCTCCATCTTCTTTTTAAATAGTGAGCCAAAATGTTTTCAGCACTTTTATTTCCATGACTGATCAAAACTAATTTTCTTATGCTCTTTCTTGTCTCTGCAGCAGACATATTTTGAGCAACATGTTTGGAGCATCAAATCGCAATAAAGTCACAATACATATAGAATCGTGAGAGTCGCAATACATATCGTATCAGCCCCTCAGTATCGTAATATCGTATTGTAAGGTCCCTGGCAATTCCCAGCCCTACAGCACAGGTGTTGGGATATATAGGTGTGTGTGTTTGTGTGTCGAAGCCCACTCAACTGCAGTGCCTCCAGCAATCGTAAGGAGTCAATCTCTGTGCGTGTGTGCGTGTACGGGCCCACTCACTTGCAGTGCCTCCAGGAAGCGAAAGGATCCCAGGCGTCTGCCCCGAGGCACCAGGCAGAAAGTAGAGTTGTGCAGCATCTCTCTGTAGTCATATCTGTGGAGAAACACACACACACACACAAACACGGTCAGTACATGTCACACACACACACAGAAGAGGCTATCAGGTTTCTCTCCTATAGTCATACACCCTCAGGACCACACGTATACACAGTACTAGCTATGCTCACCTTACTGAACACACTCACATAACAGATCACACACCCCAGTATACAGTAAGTCCCTCAACTCCATCCTGTAACATAATTCATATACAGGTACGGACAGAAATCACAATTTCTCCACACATTTTTCAAGGTTCTTACTGCAGCGCAATTCCTCATCTCCCTCTCCTGCGTGCTCCTTCCATCCCACTACTCTCTCCTTCCCTCCATCTCTCCAGTGAGGTGTGCCATATTGCTATCCAAACAGAATGATCAACCCTGCCAGGGGTAATGAGCTGTGAGTGACACCTGCTACCAAGAGGCAAGCTCCTGCTGTGGTGGGTGCGCGTCTGTCTGCTTAAATCGGGGGGGTGTTTGTGTTTGTGTGCGCTTCACTCAGGTGAAGTCACACTCAGGGTGGCAGAGAGTAGGTACACAGATGGGAAGAGAGGAGAACATGAAGATGTTTTCCATTTCACACAGACAGCCGCTTACTAGGGCATTAACCTCTACTAGGCCCAGGAGAAAGACTTCCTGCCCATCTTTCTCTCGCTCCTCCTCTCCTGTCATTGGGAGAATCTCAACTGCATTTCCTCTTTTCTCCCCTCCACTCTGACCTTCTCTTCCAATTGGTTTTGAGAAGGAGGCTGAGAGAGAGGACTCATGGGATCAAGGAAATGCAATCGAGCCTTCCATTGCCTTTCTGTCCAATTCTCTCTAAATCACATTTATAAAGCTCTTTTTACATCTTTAGTTGTCACAAAGTGCTTTTCAACTCTCCTCTCTATTCACTTCCTCCCTTTTCTCTCCCTCATTCACTCTCGCCCTCTTACCCTCCTTACTCCCTCGCTCTCACCCCATGGTGTATGCAGAGGGATGATGCTGTTTACTGACAGTAACGGAAGTGTGTGTGTGTGTTTGCGTACTAACACTGCACATAGGCTCAATTGAGATTCAGAGGGCAACAGCCAGGACACGTCTACTGCTAGGATTCAAAGCACAAAACAGGTTCACACACATTCACTCTCGCACACGGCAATAACTAATAAATGGCCAGCGCACCGCACTAGTCAGTTCTGAAAGCCACGTATATAATATACAGTTAGCACTTAAACATACATCACACACACCTCGGTGGCCAGGTTTGCAGGAGCGGTGTAGAAGACAACAGCTGCACACCCAAACATTGACATTCTATCACCTGCCGATGGAGACAGACAGGGCACACACACTTTTCTGCACCAGCTGTCTCCCTGTGCAGCGCTGCCTCCCTCATGTCCTTCCCTGCCTTAATGCCATAGAATATCAATGAGACAGACTGACCTATATAGCTGTAGCATCTCCCTCCCGAGCACATCTGGTGTTTGGGTTAAAGTTAAAGATAAGGTGTGCCATTGGCATCAGGGACTTCTCAGAGAAAGCAATGCCTCAGTAGAGTAAGGACGTACTGCTCCATATGATAGTCTGGTCAGCTTACTGATTGTAGTCAGTAGAGCAAAGTTTTATTGACGTGTATGAAAGTGTATTCTTTGTTTTGTGCGTGACGGGTGCTGCTGGGAGTGAGTGTGGTGCGGGGAATGAAAATGGAAACGCAAAACAAGTTTATGAGAACCGGAGGAATCTCCATATCAAGGGGACTTTATTCATTTTATGAATAAGTACAAAGGCCACGCCCACTATACTTTAGGAGCGGCTCCTCTGCCGCTCCCCCCTCCTTGATCGGCTTTGTCTGGTCACTAGTGTAGCCTACAAACTTTTTTTACAACGCTTTTAAGCATAAGCGCACACATTCCATGCCTCAGTAAGCATGTTCTTTTTTCAGGAGGAGTAGGTTACATGCAGCTATTGACATGTTTTACACAAAATACATTATCGACATGTTCGTACAAACTTTGTCAGTATTGCGAACATAAGCACGACACAAACAGGCAGTCTAGCGATTTCATGTTCTTCTTAGCTGCTGAGTTACATGCAGCTATTTACTCTCGCCACGATATCAGCATATATGGCATAACTACGGCACCGGGCGATGCAAGGGTTTACCTTATTTTAACTATTTTCTACATTGTAGAATAATAGTGAAGACATCAAAACTATGAAATAACACAAACAATTATGAAGTAAACAAAAAAGTGTTAAACAAATCAAAATATATTTTAGATTCTTCAAAGTAGCCACCCTTTGCCTTGATGACAGCTTTGCACACTCTTGGCATTCTCTCAACCAGCTTCACCTGGAATGCTTTTCCAACAGTCTTGAAGGAGTTCCCACATATGCTGAGCACTTGTTGGCTGCTTTTCCTTCACTTTGCGGTCCAACTCATCCCAAACCAACTCAAATGGGTTGAGGTCGGGTGATTGTGGAGGCCAGGTAATCTGATGCAGCACTCCATCACTCTCCTTCTTGATCAAATAGCCCTTTCACAGCCTGGAGGTGTGTTGGGTCATTGTCCTGTTGAAAAACAAACAACAGTCCCACTAAGCCCAAACCAGATGGGATGGCGTATCGCTGCAGAATGCTGTGGTAGCCATGCTGGTTAAGTGTGCCTTGAATTCTAAATAAATCACAGACAGTGTCACCAGCAAAGCACCCCCACACCATCACACTGCCATGCTTCACGATGGGAACCACATATGCGGAGATCATCCGTTCACATACAGTGGGGGAAAAAAGTATTTAGTCAGCCACCAATTGTGCAAGTTCTCCCACTTAAAAAGATGAGAGAGGCCTGTAAATTTAATCATAGGTACACGTCAACTATGACAGACAAAATGAGGAGAAAAAAATCCAGAAAATCACATTGTAGGATTTTTTATGAACTTATTTGCAAATTATGGTGGAAAATAAGTATTTGGTCAATAACAAAAGTTTCTCAATACTTTGTTATATACCCTTTGTTGGCAATGACACAGGTCAAACGTTTTCTGTAAGTCTTCACAAGGTTTTCACACACTGTTGCTGGTATTTTGGCCCATTCCTCCATGCAGATCTCCTCTAAAGCAGTGATGTTTTGGGGCTGTCGCTGGGCAACACGGACTTTCAACTCCCTCCAAAGATTTTCTATGGGGTTGAGATCTGGAGACTGGCTAGGCCACTCCAGGACCTTGAAATGCTTCTTACGAAGCCACTCCTTCGTTGCCCGGGCGGTGTGTTTGGGATCATTGTCATGCTGAAAGACCCAGCCACGTTTCATCTTCAATGCCCTTGCTGATGGAAGGAGGTTTTCACTCAAAATCTCACGATACATGGCCCCATTTATTCTTTCCTTTACACGGATCAGTCGTCCTGGTCCCTTTGCAGAAAAACAGCCCCAAAGCATGATGTTTCCACCCCCATGCTTCACAGTAGGTATGGTGTTCTTTGGATGCAACTCAGCATTCTTTGTCCTCCAAACACGACGAGTTGAGTTTTTATCAAAAAGTTATATTTTGGTTTCATCTGACCATATGACATTCTCCCAATCCTCTTCTGGATCATCCAAATGTACTCTAGCAAACTTCAGACGGGCCTGGACATGTACTGGCTTAAGCAGGGGGACACGTCTGGCACTGCAGGATTTGAGTCCCTGGCGGCGTAGTGTGTTACTGATGGTAGGCTTTGTTCTTTGGTCCCAGCTCTCTGCAGGTCATTCACTAGGTCCCCCCGTGTGGTTCTGGGATTTTTGCTCACCGTTCTTGTGATCATTTTGACCCCACGGGGTGAGATCTTGCGTGGAGCCCCAGATCGAGGGAGATTATCAGTGGTCTTGTATGTCTTCCATTTCCTAATAATTGCTCCCACAGTTGATTTCTTCAAACCAAGCTGCTTACCTATTGCAGATTCAGTTTTCCCAGCCTGGTGCAGGTCTACAATTTTGTTTCTGGTGTCCTTTAACAGCTCTTTGGTCTTGGCCATAGTGGAGTTTGGAGTGTGACTGTTTGAGGTTGTGGACAGGTGTCTTTTATACTGATAAGTTCAAACAGGTGCCATTAATACAGGTAACGAGTGGAGGACAGAGGAGCCTCTTAAAGAAGAAGTTACAGGTCTGTGAGAGCCAGAAATCTTGCTTGTTTGTAGGTGACCAAATACTTATTTTCCACCATAATTTGCAAATAAATTCATTAAAAATCCTACAATGTGATTTTCTGGATTTATTTCTCTCAATTTGTCTGTCATAGTTGACGTGTACCTATGATGAAAATTACAGGCCTCTCTCATCTTTTTAAGTGGGAGAACTTGCACAATTGGTGGCTGACTAAATACTTTTCCCCCCCACTGTATGTGCTTTCTTGAGCAGGGGGACCTTGCAGGCACTGCAGGATTTCAGTCCTTCACGGTGTAGTGTGTTACCAATTGTTTTCTTGGTGACTATGGTCCCGCTGCCTTGAGATCATTGACAAGATCCTCCCGTGCAGTTCTGGGCTGATTCCTCTCCGTTCTCATGATCATTGCAACTCCACGAGGTAAGATCTTGCATGGAGTCCCAGGCCGAGGGAGATTGACAGTTATTTTGTGTTTCTTCCATTTGCGAATAATCGCACCAACTGTTGTCACCTTCTCACCAAGCTGCTTGGCGATGGTCTTGTAGCCCATTCCAGCCTTGTGTAGGTCTACAATCTTTTTTTTGTTGTTATTCTGTCTCACTGTTCAAATAAACCTACCATTAAAATTATAGACTGATCATTTCTTTGTCAGTGGGCAAACGTACAAAATCATGTGTGTATATATATATATATATATATATATATATACACACGAGAGAAAAAAAGAAAAAACATTTGGGGGATTGGAAGTGATGCAGACAATTACATTGATGGAATTTACAATCTACAATATTAAAGCTGATCTACCCCCTAAAAATAAAAATAAATAGGTGGTGTGCGCGCCTCCTAAGTCGGACCAGCAGGCAGCTCCGAGTGCCTCTCCTCCGCCGGCGATGTTTTGGGTCAGCCGCTGGAATCAGTTTAGTTGCCCTGGGGAGAGCAAACAAAGGATCTGCTTCTGGAAAGTCGTATTCCTGGTCGTAATGCTGGTGAGTTACCGCCGCTGTAATATCCAATAGTTTTTCCTGGCTGTATGTAATGATGCATAAACACTTTCTGAGCTAATAATCTAAAAAATAATACATAAAAAAACAAAATACTGCGTTTCTTAAGAGCTAGTCGCGAGGCCGCCATCTTCGTCGGCGCCAGAGTCGACAGCCTTAATGTTATGTATTATGTCATGTTTTATGTTTTGTGTGGACCCCAGGAAGAGTAGCTGCAGCTTTGGCTGTAGCTAATGGGGATCCTAGTAAAATACAATTACTAGACACAGCTAGATAGACCTGCAGCAGACAGCCAACTAGGTGAAAAATCTGTCCATGTGCCCTTGAGCAAGGCACTTAACCCTAATTGCTCCTGTAAGTCGCTCTGGATAAGAGCGTCTGCTAAATGACTAAAATGTAAAAAATTTAAATTTAAACAGTCATGACAGTTAGTGTCAGCTTATGAACTATGACTTATGGGTCCATGTATGGTGATAATGGTGTCGATTCAACAAGATGATTACAGACCTGTACAAGCAAATGCTTCATCTCTATCAATTTACATTTTACATTTACGTCATTTAGCAGACGCTCTTATCCAGAGCGACTTACAGTTAGTGAATACATATATTTTTTTTTTATACTGGCCCCCCGTGGGAATCGAACCCACAACCCTGGCATTGCAAACGCCATGCTCTATCAACTGAGCTACATCCCTGCCAGCCATTCCCTCCCCTACCCTGGACGACGCTGGGCCAATTGTGCGCCGCCCATGAGTCTCCCAGTCGCGGCCGGCTGCGACAGAGCCTGGATATATAAATTGTCACCCTTGTACCATCTTGATAGATAATATATATGTGTCATCTGTATACATGGACCCATTCTGACTTCAATACAAGAACAGGGTAAAATAATAAGTTCTAGGATATACAGGGTTCTACCCTCCATCTCTTCTATTATGTCTCAGTCAGAGCCAGAGAGGAGGGGCCCTGACCCCTGACTTGTTCACTGCTTGCCCCTTCAGTCGGCTAGCTGGGGCACTTAGCAGGGTCACTGGTCCCCGGCTGAGGGATACAGCAGAGATCACTCTCCTTCCTCCATCCATCGTTTTTTTTTCTCTCCTCCTCTCCATTTTCATTTCCCTCTAACAACAGCAGAGCTCTGTCATCCTGCTGACCTTGAGCTGCTGAGGAGGAAACCAACTGCAGAGCGAACCGAGGAGCCCACAGGCGGTGTGTGTGTGTGTGTTGTTTTAGTGTGTGTGAAAGTGT